ACATATACCTTCTCATCGTAGCGTTGAATTCTGTGCCTTAAATGGCATGGAACAGCGCATTGGTTTTGCTAACTCATCGGGAGGAGAGACAAGAGAACGAATTTGTTTCATCGATGTACTGAGTGTTAACGAATGTGATCGTCATTCTTCTTAATGAATTGGTCGTAATTCTTCTTCGTTAAAATCATTACAATAATTTTTTTTATCTCATGTAAAAACTTTTATATATATATATTAAAAAATAACAATACTTCAACACGTCAATTATAAATGTTGAACTATAATAATTCCATTATGTCTAGTAGCGATATTATGATAATTGACTGAAGCAAGCATTTGCATTTGGAATTCTTTTCTCGAAAACAAATTTTTGCTAACGTTGATGTGGCGCTGAAGCTGATGCCGGCAAAGCCAAACTGCTTCTAATAAAATATTATTAAAATTATGATTGATGAAGTACGTCTTTAAGCATTTGCGGACAATATAAATTTTAAGTTTTCTAGGGTCCTTCCAAAAATAAAATATAAAATACATTTTATAGAATCTATACAAAAGTTTTATAGAAATCTGAACATGAAAAATCTATCGTTGCATGTGTTAGCCGCAGCTGCGTTTGAAATAGGCCATATGAAACTTCTGAACTTGATCTGTGAATCAAATTTCTTGACATTTTGTGAACAAGTTACCACGTTGCGTATCAAGCGCGTAATTCTATTTCGTAGGCAATGCTTTCTCTACTGTTTTTGCCTCTACCTTAATTGCAGAGTCTCATCCCGACCATCGCTTCTTATGACTTTTTCTCTACCCTTTGCATGGCGTGTGGCGAGAGCATCAGCTTCGTCTCCAACCAAAGACGTAGGCATCGGCATTACATGGCAATCGACATGCTAAGCAATTGCGCATGAATTTTGCATCTGATCGTTTCACTTACACACATGATCGGATATTTCGACAGCCATACTGTTATGTATAAAGAAGGTTTGATTGCATCTCGATATGATGGCCGAGTTCGTTTGTATTTGGTTTTTCACCGATGTACGAACAACGGGTTAAATTCTTGACAACCTGTGGCTTGACTTCTGATTCTATTACGTATTTAAACACTATATATTTGTATGATGAAAATATATATGGTGCGCATATGTACAGCTCCTTTCAATATAACCAACGCATTAAGATACTGATACTATCAGAGCACTGAGAGCATCGATAACACCAAATGTTTCCGTTTTTTTCTTCATCTGTACTTTCACACCTTCAGAATTTACTTGCCCCTTATTGAACTGCATATGAAAACTGTACCTAGTACCTACACTCGTTACGATTAAACGTTGTAAAATTATGCAGTCTGACACGAGGGTGATTCGTCATTTCGGTACTTATTCACCAAAATTTGTGAACTCTTCGACAGTGCGCCGAGTAAGAGAGTAATTTGTCCTGGAACTGACGTTTATTTTTAAGCCATCCTAAATTAGGGTATCTAATGTGCGCTGTCAGACGCGGTACGCGCAGAAAGCCCATTTATGTCTTCACGGCTGTACCGTCGACAGCGCGACCCACGTTAGTTATTGTGCCTATCTACTTTATGAAGTCCTTATTTTCTATTACTTGTGATAAGATTTAACTGTTTATCGCACGGTAGACTGTTTTTTTACTGGTTTATCGCTCTGTAGAAGGCTACATAACGACGATTCAGGACGATGACAGCGTTTGCACATCGCCATCGCGATTTATCGACACCCTTGCTTGCTGTGTCGTGAGTCGTGCACTCAAAGAAACGAGAGAGACTTTGTCCAGATATCGACGTACTTTCTACCCTTGTGGAAGTTATCATGCATAACCCACTTTTTCCTGGCAAAAAAGCGTCCCAGCAGGCATCTGACGTTGAAACAACGTTGATTAATGGTTGATTTCAGGTTGAAATGTTGAACAACCTAAATTAAACGTCATATCAACGTCGAAATCTGACCAACACTAGAAGGGACGTAAAGCAACCTTATTTCAACGTTGAAATAACGTCGATATTGGTACGTTGAATTTTTACTAATTTTTAAACGTTGAATCAATGTTGATTTCAGGTTGAAATGCTGAACAACCCCAATTATACGTCCATTCAACGTCGAAATCTGACCAAAACTAGAACGGATGTAAAACAACCTTATTTCAACGTGAGAATAACGTCGATATTGGTACGTTGAATGGTTGCTAATTTTTAAACGTTGAATTAATGTTGATTTCAGGTTGAAGTGCTGAACAACCAAAATTAAACGTCATATCAACGTCGAAATCTGACCAAAACTAGAACAGACGTAAAACAACCTTATTTCAACTTTGAAACAATGTCGATATTGGTACGTTAATGTTTATTTATTTTTAAACGTTCAATCAATGTTGATTTCAGGTTGAAATGCTGAACAACTAAAATTAAACATCCGATCAACGTCGAAATCTGACCAAAACTAGAACAGACGTAAAACAACCTTATTTCAACGTTGAAAATGGTCGATATCGATACGTTGAATGTTTATTTATTTTTAAACGTTCAATCAATGTTGATTTTAGGTTGAAATGCTGAACAACCAAAATTAAACGTCCGATCAACATTGAAATCTGACTAAAAGTAGAAGGGACGGAAAACAACCTTATTTCAACGTTGAAAAATGGTCGATATCGGTACGTTGAATGTTTAGCTATTTACCAGCATGGAACTAATGTTATCACACCAACATTGAATGAAATACATATATATAACTGTACGATTAATGACCAGAGAATGCAGTTCAATTTTCAAGGAGTCGAACAATTCTTTAGCTTATTTCTATTGCTCATGCACGCGAGCTGCCGTGGTCAAGGTTGCTAAGGCGTCGCGCGGTCTCCAGCGATCCCGGGTTTGAATCCTGCCACGGACGAAAAACAGGTTGGTTCTTCAACGTTGATTCAATTAGAGAATTTGACGTTGCAGCAATGTCGGCGTAGTAACACTGATTCAACGTTGCATTGTAACGTCAGTACGACGTTTCATGAGAGACGTTGCTTCAATTTTCATTCTAAACCTATTTTCACCCCGATCTCAATGTCGTAATGCGTAGTTGTTTCAACGTCGATTCAACCATAGAATTCAACGTTGCAGCAACGTCGTAGTAGCAACATTGATTCAACGTTGCATTGTAACGTCAGTACTACGTTGCATGAAAGATGTTGCTTCAATTTTCATTCTAAACCTCCTTTCACCCCGATCTCAATGTCGTAATGTGTAGTTGATTTAACGTCGAATCAACCACCGAATGCCTGCTGGGGTATGTGTTACGTGCAGTAAGTGTGTCTTATTTGAATAATATGACCTACTAATTGCTCTGATTGTGCATTATTTTTACTTTACATGCGTTTAGTTACTTTTACATGCGCTTCGTTACTTTTAATCGCCTTTAATGAATGTCCAGCAATCGTTCTTCTGATCTCGTTATTCCCTGAGAGGTGAAGTACCGAACAACGTCAAAGTCGGCGAACATTATAGTTCATCATACCTTACAATTCATCATACATTTCAATTCATCATAGCTTTCAATTCATCGCACCATTCAATTCAACACCTTTCAATTCATTATATCTCCGTACTGTACACCTGTATACCTCGTGTGCACCTGTATACCTCGCGTGCGCCTGTATACCTCGCGTGCGCCTGTATACCTCGCGTGCACCTGTATACCTCGCGTGCGCCTGTATACCTCGCGTGCGCCTGTATACCTTGGGTGCTCCTGTATACCTCGCGTGCGCTTGTATACCTCGGGTGCGCCTGTATACCTTGGGTGCGCTTGTATACCTCGCGTGCGCCTGTATACCTTGGGTGCGCCTGTATACCTTGCGTGCTCCTGTATACCTCCCGTGCTCCTGTATACCTCGGGTGCGCCTGTATACCTCGGGTGCACCCTGTATACCTCGCGTGCGCTTGTATACCTCGCGTGCACCGCGTGCACCTGTATACCTCGTGTGCATCTGTATACCTCGGGTGCACCTGTATACCTCGCGTGCTCCTGTATACCTTGGGTGCGCCTGTATACCTCGGGTGCTCCTGTATACCTCGCGTGCGCCTGTATACCTTGGTCGCTGGTGCGGTCATTGTACGGCCGCTGGTGCGGTCATTGAACGGCCGCTGGTACGGTCATTGTACGGCCGCTGGTACGGTCATTGTACGGCCGCTGGTACGGTCATTGTACGGCTGCTGGTACGGTCATTGTACGGCCGCTGGTGCGTGCGGCCAACTCTGTGCCGGCAGACCCAACCACGCGCATCCTAACCTCGACGGCATCGATATAACGTGCCGGACATGGTTGCTTGACAGGTTACTTGACAATTTGTAAGGTCGCTTGGCAGTTTGGCAGGTTACTTGTTTACTTGCTAGGTCGTTGAGTGTCTTGGCAGGTCTCTGTTATTTTGTGAGTCACTTGGCGGCTTCGTATGTCGCTTGGCTACCTGGTAGATGGCTAAGCCCTTCATCTGTTGAAAACAAAAGTTTGCCTGTTCACCGTAAGCCTTTTTGTGTTGAACACAAAATGTTCGTCGGCTCCTCTCACCCCATGAACATCAAATCCCAATTTCCCCTAACAGTGAAGGGAAGTACAGCGTACAAGACTGTTCTCACAAAATTAGATTGTGCGATTCTGCCCTTTTTGCACTGCACTGATTATTGACCTTGTGGCGAATTCTGTGTAAAAGTGCAGCATCGTGCAGCTGCCCGCCTATTTATTTTCAACTATTAAACTTATTTTGTCAGTCGCGAAGGTAAAATGAAAATATTCGTTAAAATACGAAATCTAATAGTATTAAATAGTTATTATAACAATGGATAATAATTCAACAAACGGTTTGGTTTGCTAACGGTGTATATTTTCCGATAAAAAAAGCTAGAGCATGCATGTTTCACGTCATCGTAGCTGGATAAATCAAAACTGAATAGGGTTCTTAACGAACTTAAAGTTTAAGCCCTGTATTCCCTATGGCAGACGTACGAATGGGCGCTGGAGACGATGCGTGTGGTGAATCGCGTGAAGACGGTGGGCGTGGCATCGCCTGACCAGGTGGGTGCCGCGGCGCAGTCCCTCGCTGCGCATGCGCAGCGGCACCCGCCACCGTCGGCTGACACCTTCGCCAACATGGTGTCTCTTGCGACCAAACTTGGCAACGCGACACTCCTCCAGCAAGTCAAGGTGTGTTCTTTCGCTGGTCAAGTTGCTTTGTTAAACAATACAGCACCCGTGCCTCCCAACAGTGTTACCGCTTTCACTGTTCCATAACAGAATAACCACTTACCCTTGCCTTTGTCCGGTTGGAATAATTGGTCTAATGAAATTGTTTCTGATTAAAAAAGTTTTACCGAATTAGCCAGAAATATGTAAATGCATGGCTCGCAATTTCTACAATTTATTTTGCAAAATCTCTTGTGATCTAAAAGTTTTGAATTTCCCAGATGGGCGAGAGCCGCTGCCAAGAGACTCTGTCGTTGCTGCAGAGCCGTCAAGCGGCTCTCGTAAAAGCTCGTCGCCAGATGGAATTTGACTGCCAAAGCTTCGTGGACCTCAACGAAGTTCTGGACAGTGATGACCCATCACCCTTTTCGTGGTTAATAGGAACTCCCTTGAACAGCTCGGGCCGAAGGCGTTCTTCCTCCGCGTCCACAGCCTCCAAATCTCGCGAAACCTTGTCTCGATGTTCTTCCTTGGACATCGAGGACGACGGCATGTTGGTAGAAGCGAAGCAACCTCTGGAAGGCCGAAGCAGTTTGGGAGGAATCAAAGAGGTTCGAGAAAGTGTGGAGGAACTTGACAGGGATCTAAATGCCCGTAACGATTCAATGTCGTTTTCTAAAGCCGTAAGCAATGCAATTGAAAGTCTCGACCCCCTGTCATCTTCCAATCCTCACACAAAGCTTTCATCGACTTTCAACTCGCGTGACTTGAGCTCCGGCTTCGTCATGAGTCCCATACACAACCAAAGCCAAAGCCTGAATCTGGCCTCCCTGCCGGCATCCATGAGTAACAATGCTAATGGTAACAAGCCTACCAGGAATCGTTACTTGTCGTCCACGGATTCCAGCAACAGCAGTGGCGGTAGCAACAGTTCGTGCGGGTCGCGAGGTAGCGACCAAATCGCCATCACCCAACGCGCCGCCAACCACAAGTCTCTGCAGAGGGCAAGTGCTTGGCCGTACGGAGCAGCCCTTGACGACGCCCAGCTACAACCCCACCATGACAGGTGGGTTCTTGTCTTACTAGGAATATTTTGACTGTACCACCATGATGGGTGGGTTCTTGTGTTGACAGGGATATTTTGGCGGTATTACCCTTGATAAGTAGCAATAAATATTGTATGGTTACCACTGTTGTGGGTATGTGCTTGGGATACTAAGAATATTTGTAAGATATTGGCGGTGATGTCTATTTTTAAATCCTGCAGGCATGCATTGTGTTAGAAATCATCTAAACATCGTTTTTATGTTTAGTATTTCTCTTTCATATTTATACGATGGTTTGTATTTACTAAGAGCATCAAGCAGGCTAGCAGTAGGATTGAACAGTTGCAGTAGCAGTAGGACCGGAGACATCTTCGAGAAATGTTTCCCATTAAAAATTGTCTTTTTCGGAGATTACCCCCGTCAATCTTTAAGATTGACGAAACTTTCATATCCTAAAAAAAACGAGTCAGTTACCCGTTGCACAAATTACCCCTGACCCGGTTCAGTCCATCAAAGCTAACGAACGCCACCTCGTTAGGTTGAGATTAGGACGTTACGATATTTAGGTTACGAACATATATTAGACCCACATTGGCCCATGGATTACCCGTTTTGACCCTGGTCAAAAACGCGAGTTTTTGAGTCATCACTAACATTTGAGTTATCACTACCCACTCGCTTTTTTATATCTGAGTTATTCAAGCTTGTCATTTATTGTTAGATAAATACCACTAAATGTAACGGAATTTTTCATCCACACTCAGCCTTATGGAGGATGAGGACGAGGAAGAGCTGCTGGAGGAGTCTGGCTTTGGCGGGTCTGACGAGGTGCGAGAGGAGCGCGTGGGGAGCCTCGTCCTGCCGCCATCGTCGGCCAACTCCCATCTGCTCACCCGCTCGTCACAGCTCGACATCACCGGCCAGAGCTTCGTCGAGGGCGATGCTAAGAAAAACATGTAAAATGCATTTTATTTTTCTACATTAAAAAGGATGTTTGTAATGTTCAACAGAAAAAGCAATTTTTTATATGAAAAAGTATGTCTGTAATGTTCAACAGAAAAAGCAATTTTTTTATATAAGAAAAAGGATGTCTATAATGTTCAACACAGAACGCAATGTTTTTCTTTATTTTGAAAAGGATGTCTATATAATGTTCAACAGAAAAAGCAATTTTTTATATAAGAAAAAGGATGTCTGCAGTGTTGAACACAAAACTCAATTTATTATTTTTTCTACATTAAAAAGGATGTGTATAATGTTCAACACAGAACGCAATTTTTTTTTCTACATTAAAAAGGATGTCTGTAATGTTCAGCACAAAACGCAATTTATTTTTTTCTGTATTAGAAAGTATGTCTATAATCTTCAACACATCTTTGAATTTTAGTTTTTCAAGGTGTCTAATTATTCATTTAATAGACGTTTATAGATTACTATTCTAGATGTTTCAGCGATTTTGATCTCGGCAGTTACACAGAGTCGGGCTGAAAAGTTATAAATATAATATTAATAGATGGATGTTACAGCATACATGTGAGGTCTTGTTTATTAGCTGTAGGCGTTGTGGTATGTAAAACTAATCAATGGAAAATGTGCTTCAAAATTCTCAGATCAAGTTTAGTTGTTTTTCAATCATAAGTACATGTGAATTCCCTTTATTTAAACGTGACCTGTGGTGCAAAATTTTGCATCTTTGAATAAATTTCCTTGATTTTTATTATCGAACTTTCTTTAGAATTATTATGATTAATATCAGAGAAATAATTTTATTTGCCAGTATTATTATCCGAAAATCGGTTATTGTCTAGTTTTCTCTAACTTAATGTTTCTGTAGTGGTTTATAAATTTGTCAAGTGTATTGTTAATTAGTTGTTATAGGAACCTAATAATCTATAGAAATAATATTGAACGTTGTAATGCTCCTGCAAATTGCAGAGGCAACAAATCGATCAAACAGCACGAAAGATTCTCACAAGTGTTTAATATGTTAAATAAGGAAAGTATTTTAAATTGTTGATTTAATTTGAATGCTTGACGTATATATGTTCGGTCTTCCTCCAGCAAACTCTGCCACATCATGAGCGAGCTCATCAAGACTGAACAAGACTATGTGCTGTCTTTGGAGTACATCATCGAGGTTAGCTTCCGTTAAAACTTAACATTTATTATCTTCGGTCTTATGTATTAACGCTACAGCCAAAAATTGCCTTCTCTCATCATCTCTTTTATTTGAAACTAGTTTATTTTACATCAATACAGTTTATTTGCATCAATAAATTATTCTCTCGATACAAAATTTATTGACGCGTTTTTCTTTCGGTTATGTAATAGATGTAAAAAAGTTAGCTTCGACGTCTTATTTGCGATTTTAGCCCGAACCTTAACTGCGAATAAATCTATGCTGCATATAATTTCTGTTGTGTCATCACTACCACGTCATGTTACTCTTCTTCTTCTTCGTGTTACTCCACGTCTGTTACTCTACTCTTTGTATGTTACTCTTCATTCCACATATATTTGAATGTTATTTATCATTTTACACATTTTACATTTCATTTAAATGTTATTTATCATTTACTATTTCGTTTTGAACGTTACTCTTCATTTTCCGTTTCATTTTGAACGTTACTCTTCACTTCACATTTAATTTTTAATGTTATTCTTCATTTCACATACCATTTTTAATGTTATTCTTCATTTCCCTGGTCATTTTGAACGTTACTCTTCATTTCCCATTTAATTTTGAACTTTATTCTTCATTTCCCATTCAATTTGAACCTTATTCTTCATTTCCCATTTAATTTTGAACTTTATTCTTCATTTCCCATTTAATTTTGAACTTTATTCTTCATTTCCCATTCAATTTGAACTTTATTCTTCATTTCCCATTTAATTTGAACTTTATTCTTCATTTCCCATTTAATTTTGAACGTTATTCTTCATTCCACACTCAAATTTTCCTCCAGAATTACCTGCCCGAGCTGCTGCGCGAGGACATCCCACAGGCACTGCGTGGTCAGCGTAACGTCATTTTCGGTAACATCGAAAAAATCCACGAGTTTCATCGCGGCTATTTCTTAAAGCACCTCAAACAGTGCGAGAGAAAACCTCTGGATATCGGCCGGATATTCTTAAAATATGTAAGCGGTAATTTTTTATGTGATTGTTTCGAGAGAGTTATAAACTATTGTTTATTTTTGGTCGTTTTTTGGGGTAACGACTCTCCTGTTTGTTTCCGAATGATTTTTAGTTCTTCAGTATAGTTTAACTGAATTATTTCTTTACTTTAGTGTATAGTTGCATTGATTCGTTTCTTTGCTGTATAGTTGAATTGATAAATTTTACACTTTAGCGCGTAGTTGAATTGATTCATTGTAGACTTGGGCCAAACCAAAAAGAATATTTGCCTGTAGGAGCGCCAGTTCTACCTCTACGCGCTCTACAACAAAAACAAACCGAAGTCGGACGAGCTCATGGCTGAGTACGGTTCCGTGTTCTTCCGCAAAAAGCAACTTGAGATCGGAGACAAGATGGACCTCGCGTCATACCTGCTGAAGCCCGTGCAGAGGATGGGCAAATACGCTCTTCTGCTCACTCAGGTGACAAACATCACTAAATTTTTATTTAATTTCCGTAATATTTCCGAAAATTGTTTCAGTATTTCGTTCGGAGAAAGTTTTCTTGAAACAAGCATTATTGTTATCAGAATCTATAGATTTTTATGACTTCGGTAGTTATATTAAATATTTTTTGACAGCAGGTTCATGCGATTAGATGTCGACTTTCTAATTTCAATTTTTTTAATTCGAAAAGTTTTTCATCAAAGTCAGTATTTTTTTATGAGTCTAGCATGATGTTTAATACGTCAAAATGTGTTAATATTCTCGATAGATGAAAAAAGAAATATATTTTCAACAGCTGGTTCAATTAATACGTCATAATATGTTAATATTGTTGATAATTATAGAAAAAAATGTTTTCGACAGCTGCTTCAGTTAATACGTTGTAAGATGTTAATATTCTCGATTATTAAAGAAAGAAATGTATTTCCAACAGCTGGTTCAGTTGACGACGGGTAGCGAGGCGTGCCACCAGCTGACGGAGGCGCAGCAGATGGTGCAGTTCCAGCTGCGCCACGGCAACGACCTGCTCGCCATGGACTCCCTTAAAGACTGCGACGTCAGTGCACTTCATAGCAATTCTGAAATAATTATATATCTACTTAATTTTCATTTTTTTAATTCATTTATTTTTTTTTCATTAATTTTTTTTCATTCATTTCAATTCTTTCTTTCATTTCATTTTTTCGTTCATTTTTTATTCATTTTAATTTTTTTCGTTAATTTTAATTTATATCATTCATTTTCGTTTTTTTTATTCATTTTCATTTGTTCATTCATTTTTTTACGCTCTATCATGACGTCTTTTTGCATGAATTTGAACCATGCACTCAAAAAAATGAATGGGTTGTTGTTAAAATACTGACCCAATTTCTTCCTACTGCACGAGCACTGAACGGACTGTTACACCCATTTTCTGGGCAAAACAGAGTCAGGATGACCCATACAGGAGTAAAAAATACAAAGCAATAAATACTCAATGAACCACTCATATCTCTGTGTGTGGTGGAGTTTTAACTGAAGGTAATATTATATTATCAGGAACTGATGTCAACGTCCATAATGTTGTGAACTTGTGAACCTCCAAAATTGGACCAATCCTGAACCAATCACTGTGTGTTCGGTACCAGTAATTTACTTGTGTGGTCAGCATGTGGGTTTACCGCTATTAGCGATGGTTTGTCTTCTAGGAAGGTTAGTCGTTTTTTAGGCAATCGTGAAGAAAAGCGGGATTACGACTGAGTGATTACTATTTTTTACTGTTCATTTTTTTCGAAGCTTAATTGTACTTCAAACGGAAAAGAAGCTGCCTGTCTGGTTATTCTATCGTTGATGAAATGAGATTCAAAATTATCGTCTAAAGACTAAAGAATCGTCCAACGGCTAGAAAATGTCTTGCCTTCTTTTTAACGCTTTTGCGAAATTTCCATTTTATTAATAAAGCACTCTTTTTCAGTTTTATATAAAAATTTCCGCAAAATTTTCTCCATATATGGCTGTTTCAAGTATTTTTTATTTATTTTCTTGTTAAAATTTTTTTAAAAATTGTCACGGCAAGACGTTATGTTTCATACTCAGAACTTCCGCGAAATTTTTCAATAAAATGCCTTTTTAGTGCATTTTCTCATTTATGGAAAAAATGCACTATTGTGCTCGCCATGTCCGTCTGTCTGTCCATGACTTCAAGTTTTCGTCGACGAGAAAATGCGCTCTCTGTCACTCACTGCAGTGAGTACCGAGTTATATTTTTTTATTATTTTCTTTTTCAAAATTTATGCAAAATTGTCACAGCAAAGCGCCATGTTTCAGACTCAGAACTTCCGCGAAAATTTTCAATAAATGCGTTTTTTTTCCAGGTTAACCTGAAGGAGCAAGGGCAGCTACTGCGGCAGGCGGAGTTCCTGGTGTGCGAGGGCAGCAGGGGGCGCAAGACCCCCCGGCATGTCTTCCTCTTCGAAGACCTCATCCTCTTCAGCAAAGCTCGCAAGGACCCTGAGAAGAAGGTGTGCAACCAAGCTATTATTATATGTAATTCTTCCATAAGTCTGGACTTTTCATTCTAAATTGTTTAACGTACTCGTTGGTGTCTATAAGTGGTAGAGAAATGAAGACAATCATCCACTTAAAGCAAAACAAAAACCTTAATCCTCATATTTCTTCTTGCCATTAAATAATTTAAATAAAGATTCCGATGTCATAGTGATGAGATTGGAAATGATACGTTTCAAACCTCTTAAACCTTGAATAACATTCAATATTCTGACTGTGCTTTCATTATATTCACTCTAGCAATTTTAGTACAATAGCAACGTAAATTACACATGAGACTATCCAAATTTGTATATTTGTAAGAAAATGCACGCCTGCAGGATTTAAAAATGCACCACACTGCCAATATCTTAGAGATATTCATAGACTCATAGTATCCCATGCACATACCAACATTGATAATCACTTCCTTTGCCCTACAGAACCTCGACATCTTCCAGTACAAGCACAGCATGAAGATGACCGATATCGGTTTAACGGCGCAGCTAGACAGCGGTTACAAATTCGAAATCTGGTTCCGCAAGAGGAAACCGTCCGACACCTACGTTCTGCAGGCCTCGTCTCTCGAGGTGAAGGAAGCTTGGACCGAGGAAATTTCCAAGCTGCTTTGGCGCCAGGCTCTTCGTAACCGAACTTTGAGGCAGCATGAAATGTCTTCCATGGGCATAGGGAACAAACCTTGCCTTGATATCCGGCCGAGCGAAGATCAAATCAACGACCGATCTGTGTCTGTCGCTTGCAAACAACGTAAGTTCAAAAATAAACGCGTGTCAGACCTCAAATTACTTCTTGGATCTGGCTCGATTTTTTTACGAACTGTTTGCCTCTATATTTATATTTCTGTCTTTTTTCAAATTTTGTACCTATCGTTTGCTAAGTATAGGTTTATTTATCCAACTGCTCAGTTTGATGGTTGAATTAGTTGAGTTGAGCTTTGTAGAATAGAATAGAATATAAGTGTCTGCACTGAAGAAATAGGCCTGATTCTTGTACTTTTCGTGACTTGATTTACAAGGGATCTGACCTTTGGAACCCGATCTTTCCAAATTGCAGTTAGTGCAGCCTTTTGAAAGATTTTTATCTGATATATGTGGGCGTTACATTTTTGATGCTAGTATTGCATGTTGAACACATTACAATAAACTCAGTAAAACTAGACGTGCGAGATATTATAATTACTTGTAATTTAGTATAACATACGTGACTTGTGGTTGCTGGGTGTGTCATGATCAAATGAAATGATCTGACAATTATTAGTACCTCCTCAGACATGTTAATCTATCCAGTATTAGGCAACGAGGTATCGGGAATTTATTGCTAATTCAACTCTTGTGAAAGCTGGCGAAAAGTAAATAGTTTCCATTCTTCCTAAGAATGCGGTGAGCCGCGTTTGAATTCATTCATCTCGGTTAAAGCCAAATGAAAACTTTATCTACAATAATTTTAAGATTGAGATTTGCTCAAATTTAAATTATCTTAGTATTTTGGTTACTATTTTAACAAAAATAAGATCATGTAAGAAGAAAATACCTTATAATTTGATTGTCATTCTAGCCGTGCGACCTCGTCTGGAGGCATCGATGTCTGTGGACTCGGCCACATCATCCGCAAACAACAGCAACTCCAGCCACGGCAACTCGGCGCTGCGTCGTCCATACTCGATTATTTCCGTGTCTTCCTCGTCCTCTTCGAACGCTTCGTCGCAGCCATCGTCTTCGTCATGCGGTGGAACCGGACAACCTTTCGTTGCCGGAACCATCAACCTCGGATTCGAGTCCGGAAATTCGCCACGACCGCTCCACCGCTCCGTTACACGGACAAGCCAATGTAGCGCCGGTGAGAAGCTGGTCGTTGTTTGCACTTGACCTTGAAAAATAAATGCAATAATTGCATTACAAACTATTATTATTTTAAATTTTATATATAATATATTCATTTAAATAAATTAATAGCTGGATAGCAAATTTAGTGAAGAATTTGAAAGCAAAGAAAAAGTCACATAATTTCTTCATGAAAAATCGACTTGGATTTTAATCTTGCTTTGCCATTTTTCTTCTCTTCAAAGAAGCAAAACATACGTCTTTTCAAAGTTATAAAAACATCTTTGCCAGGTCTGCAAAATCAATTATGTTTTGGTTTCAAAACTAGATCTTCACTAACAATTTTCTCGTCCTTGCAGAAAGTGGCATCATGGCCGACATGTACCCAGCTGACCAATACGACTCAAGCCTTCATCACAATTCCCTACACCAGTCTTTATACAGTCACTCCCAGTCACATTTTCGTGTTGAACGTTCTAATTCCACCGTGACCTCCGTTTCCATCGACTCTGGGCTCTCGCCGACGTCTCCCTCTAACCACAGCCCAGCTTCTTACTCTGCATCTTCCTCCACAAGCCCGTCCACTGGGTCGTCAGATATGCTTTCTGTCAATAATACTCAAGAAGAGGATGCTTCTGATCTAAATAACGACATCCTATCTTCTCTCGCATCCGTTTCAATCGTTGAATCTTCCAGAAAAACTGTTGATAAAATAGAAAATTTTACTGCACTTACCTCAGAGGCCGCATCCAATTGTCATTCTACATCTTCATCGTCGTCGTTGGCTGGAGAAACAAATGAGGAACGGGCGGCTGAAATAAACGACTACACAACTCTGGATGCGGAAGGCGTCAAGACATTGCTGACGACTGAGGTAAATTCTTTTATTAAAAGGCACCATAGTATACAAATATAAGTAAAGTTATCCATTGCATATTATAAATTTTGAATACTGTGTGCTCTGAGTAGATTGAGATTTGATCTCCTGCCCTTAGTATAATTTTGTTTACTTGTTTCTAATTTGTCATCTGAGCTGTTATGATGAACCTCCATGAAGTACGTAGTATGGACTTATCTGTACCATGGACATTCTTCAGCTTTTTATGAGCAATTTTAATATTTTTCTTGTGTATATTGAATAACGTAACAATCTAATTAACTCTTCCCCCTCTTCTCATTTCAGGTATAACTAACTACCCTTCATTGCTTCATCTCCAATGATGCGCGAGTAAAGTTTGCCCAGGATTTTTCACCAATAATCGATGCAGTATTTATTGGGTGAATTAGCCTTTCTAAATGTATACAATTTTGTACCCTTAATCCTCCCTGGCTTCTCCATACGATGAATTTCCATTGACATGGGATCAACAGTTGGAGTTTTGTTCAACAACACATCGTTCTTCCTTCTTTGGTCTGTGCGTTCGGCGCTTGGTGGAGAATCATGGAAGTGGCTGTAAAAAATGTATATAATTTGTTATTGACTGTATGTTGTGTGAAAATGTAAACCATTTCTTAAACTTAATAAATAATCCTCTAAATGTATGAAGCGGGATCCATGTTTTTATTTCTTGTTGTGTTTGTTCAATTTGTCGTTTGACTTCTTCGTTAATTAGAATTCTGTTGTCTAGAATAAATTGTCTCCATTATCTTTCCCTTTAATGTTTTCCTTACTCTTTTATATCAGACTTCTGATTTATTGATAATAGTTGAATAAAAAGCCGCTAACTTCAAATTTGGCCGCTTAACCAAGGCAACACTTGAAGTTTTCTTACAACGATCACCCTCAACATCCCAACATTTGATAGTTGAACCAATATTTTTTGTTAATATTATTTCAGTTCAGCCATGCTCTATTTAATAAACATTTTCGGGATTGAATAGCGCATTAAATAGAGCCCAGTTTCACCAGGAAAAATTTGCAACGCACACAAATTGCTTCATATAACTCACTGTAACAGAACATACTGTCCTACAACTCGCTGTAACAGAACATACTGTCCTACAACTCGCCGTAACAGAACATACTGTCCTACAACTCGCCGTAACAGAACATACTGTCCTACAACTCGCTGTAACAGAACATACTGTCCTACAACTCGCTGTAACAGCACATACTGTCCTACAACTCGCTGTAACAGAACATACCTACTGCTCAAAGTGAAGGGATGTGTCGTTACCTAGACCACTTCATATCAACCCAAGCGACACACATTGAATTCCCAGAAATGTCGCCTTTCTTCCTATTGTCATTTGTCTGTGTTAATCTTCGAGCTACAACTGTACCATTCGGGCTATTATTTAACTGTCCACGAGATGTTTTACTATCAATTATTCTTGTATCTGTGTACATACTATGCTTACATTATAGTTGCCATGCATTTTCTTGTTGAATATTCTTATTTGTGGAAACGCAAGTAGTTTTAATTTTGATTCGTGAATAAAATTGATAACAGTGAACATGGAGGAATATTGGTAGTCAACGTAAGCGCTGTTGAATTGTGCTTTTTTCCTTCTTTAGTTTTTTAGGCGATACATTTTCATAAGTTACGATCAAACCCACCTTTTTATTATCAGATAATGATTTATTAAGAAACTTGTTAGCCCAGCAGCATGCTCGCGGTATGGAGGATGGACGGACTTGTATAACTATTTTTTATGGCTAATATGCTGTGTATAATTAGAGTGCATCTGAATGGATGCAGCTAATACAGTCTAGAAGAATATTACGATAGTCATCATATAAATTATTTCCATTTGGTGAACTACAGAAAGTTGTCTCATAGCTCTTCTGGAAAACAGTCGTTAATGAATGATATAAACTTTCTTCCTTAGATTTGTACGTCTATAAACCGTAGTAGGTAACATATCCTCGTTTGTACTCATGCTTCGGATATAAATAAAACAAAAACTCAATATTACATCATTGATTTTTACCCTTTTGACGGTATATTCCACCTTTAAATGAGAGTTTTTAGATTATACATATTATTAGCGCATTTTCTCATTTATGGAAAAAATGCACTATTGTGCTCGCCATGTCCGTCTGTCTGTCCGTTACCTCAAGTTTTCGTCGACGAGAAAATGCGCTCTCTGTCACTCACTGCAGTGAGTACTGAGTTATATATATTTTTTTAATTTGGCGGAAATAGAGAATCGTGAATCTCGACTTCCTTGTAGGGTAACAGGTATTAGCGAATTATATCGGCATAAACAGTTGAATTCTTGATCAGCACATTGTGTGCTAATTGTTAGCTATAAGGACGAGTTTTATAATTTTGTTTCAAGTACTCAGATGAAGTAATCAACTAGCAGTTAAACATCTTTACAGTGCTAAAAATGTCGAAGGCATATAACTGCGTTTTCAGTGGCACTTTGATTTGACGGTCAACTTGAGCTTACCCGTATAATGAATGGTATATTGAAAACTATTTCATATAATTAACAACAAGTGAGGAGGACTTCTATGATAGTTTATATTCAAGGTTGCGTTCGAATCTGTTCAGTAGTTTTCAAAATATTTAATCTTCAATGCGAATTTTGGCCCCCATGACCGTTTAAGTTGGAAACAAATACGGAATCGCATAAGTAATCACGACCTAAACATGACTTTTAGGTCCTAATGAACGCACGTACAAAGTTTCATTGAATTCCATTTATTAGTTAGGGAGATATTTCATGTCCACTAAATCTTGATGACCGGCCGCAAGTCCGGCTGGGTAAAAGTCCGAGAGGTCGAAATTTGGTACATATATGATATACACAGTTTCTCAATGCACAAGGGTAGAAAAAGTTGAGGATAATTCAACTTTATAAACGACATACAAAATAAATAGCATTGTTTAAGATATAGTTGTAAATTGTTTTACATTTTTTAATCAAATGACCAGTGAGCGTCACATACATATGTGATGATAGTTTTCAGATTTGAACATGATAGTGATAATTGATAGTGAGAAGAAACTAAATCACTTATTATTCGCTGTCGTATAATATTGTGATGAAGCAGATTTTCGCCTTGGAGGTTGAAGATGTACAACTTACACATGGGAATCTTCTTCATGTCTGCGCAGATTTGAAGTTGCCGCCTGGTGGACTGAAGTCGCTGAACATTTGTCCTGGAAAAGCATTCCACTGCTGGTCAGGCAAGCATACAGCGGTGTATTTTCTCATCAAAAACTTATTTAAAGATCTTTTCACAACATTACAGAGTATTTTTAGTTTTCTTAGGCAAGTTTTAGTTGACCGTCTTTTCATTTTAATGAGAACACAACAGGATCGCAAGCATAACATTCGTTGCGTCACCGGGAGTCAAAACACAAACGTCGGCCATGGCAGAGGAGCAGGTTGGTGTTGCTTTTGTTGACCGAACTGAGATACTTGAATTTAAAATATATTTACTAATCGTAGTACGCAATACGCGTTCGGCTCTTGAAACGTTTTAATTAGGATTGGATCGTTTGACTGAATTATAGCTTGCTTTTTGTGTAGAAATAATTCGTTTTGGTTCTGTTCCTCAATTTTACAATTGATGTGATGTTATGGTAAGAATTTTAGAGGCAAGCCGGTAATTATTTCAGCAACAATTATAATTTTTAGGTTGTATTATATTTTAAAAGTGAATGATTGACTATAATTCTGTGACTATTTTAAATTTCCCTAACTGAATTAATTTCATATTGACCAAAATTCTTCAAGATCTTGTTGCTGTTGGTATAAATTAACATTGGTTCATTTCCTATCTGGAATATAGGATAGGTCAAATTTTTAGATTGTATTATAATCAGAGAAAATGTTAGGAGATACAATGTTACAAATTACAATACAAAATGTTAGGAGATACAAGAAAATATTAGGATATAGAGAAAATGTTTTTTAATAATCCCAATTCCCAATTCCTAGCTACTAATATTTTAAAGTATGTACTACTACCTACTTTATCTGTACCTAATTAAAAATGATCAAAACTGTTCAAGTTCTACTAGGTAGATCTTTAAAAAAATAAAAGTGAATACAAGTATGAAATACTATGAATTTGAAATGAACCAATATCATTCCAAATTTGAAATTTTCTAATTTGTAACAGTGCTCAGATTTTGATTTTTGCCATAAAGATTTGAAGGATCCATAAAGATTTGAAGGATACCTAAGAACCATAAAGATTTGAAGGATACCTAAGAACCTAACTATTACAGGATCTGCCATAATTATGGCAAGTTGGCAACTCATGTTTTCTAATTTCTCAATGTAAAACAGGTGATAAATTTTTTATTAGATGAACTAATAGCCAAAATCTACCTAAAAAATTCTGAAATGTATTTATTCAATATGACTAGCGTTATTTTTAATGACGTCTTCCTACATACACTGGAATGTGGAAAGCTTCACAGAATACAGGAGACTAGGGTAAACGCGGTATATTCCGACACTTTAAGGATGCATCGAGAAATGAAAAACTATAAAAAAAAACCGTATGCGTTACGTAAGTTCTGTTGCCTTCACATGATGTATTTAAAAGTCTCAAACCATAATATTCTTCCTATAAAAACAGTTATTCACTATTTGGTAGAGCCATGTCAACTGTCAAATTTGACACATTTTTCAATGATCTCACCACGTGGCATGCATTGTCTCTCTTTGGATCTCAATATTTTCCCGCTAGATGGCCAAGGCCTAGTGTTTTTGCCGTATTTCGACAGGCAAATGTATGATGTCACCATTTTAACCATGAATGAACGCATGGAACTAAAACAAAGCTTAATATAAAGGAAAAACTAGAGAAGTGACGGAATTACCTACGATGTCGGAATATACCGCGTTTACCCTAGCAATATTTCTTGTGTGATCAAGTCGCATTCTTGTTTCAATTTATACCTCAAACTATCCAAATATTTTTGAGGTATTCTGCAATTCCTACTCACTAAAATATCCCAAACACTGAAACAAAAAAGTTGAGAGGATTCAAATCAGGGCTTCTTAAGGGCCATTAATTTTTGCTAATGAATGCTGGGATGTGGCACTGAATTCAGTTTTGGGTCATGTTTGAACCATGTGATGGGGCAGAGGCTTGTTGAAAACTCCATGTTGAGCCATTGAAGTGTTTACATCACCAAGAAAACAACTCTGCTTTCAAAATGTTTGAAATGTATTGCTGACTGCTTAATTTTACTCCTGAGTGGAGACCTTCCAGTGGTGGATACCGTGGCCTAAACCATCACGAACATGGGATTTTGACGTTGTGTTGCTGTTCTGGTCGCCACAGATCCATCCCGACTCCAAACTCTGTCAATTTGATGGTTAACGCTTTGTTCAATGTCAAATTTCTTCTCATCGCTGAACACCAAATTGGGCAGCATGCCACCCTCAATGAGATTCAGAATGTGCTGGCATCTTTCAAGTTAAATTAGGTCATGACTGTTTGTTAAGTTTATGCCTTGTTTGCATCTTGCAAGGGGATGTTTTGAGGTCGTCTCTGAGGACTCAGCCAATTTTTTAGCTGAGCAACAAGGGTTTCTCCTCAACTTCTTCCTTGTGTGTTTTGCCAATTGTTTTGTTGGGACTCTTTGTTTCCTTCCCTGATCAGGTTGATTGCATGTTTTGCCAGTTCCCATGAATTTTTTTTACCACCTTCCCCACAGTTTCATGACAAATATTGAGCTTTTTTGTAATGACTGAATTACTCTTGCTCTTTTTAGTAAGGATTAAAATTGAATTTCTGTTTACTGCAATTAGTAATACTAAATTTAGACACCTTTGACTTCTGCAATATAAAACAGATAATATTAAGCTTCATAATAAAAGAAAAGTCTCCCAGAAACTTATTTATTTTCATTCTAAATTGCTAATTAATCTAAGCTGCATTGGCCAGCATGCTAACTAGGAAAATTCTTATTTTTTCTGAAATATTATGGCTGTTACCATATATCATGTAATTTCAATAAGGTGTGAAATCTTGGGGATCTAGTGTAATGTACCTCAGTCTGATTGGAAAAAATTGCGGGTCACAAACATATTTGCAAAACTTTTTACTTCCACAGTTGAGTATACTATGCTCCTGCCAAAATATCCTGCATAATAAGTGAACCCAAAACATTTCATTGGAGATTGGCTGATAGCTTAGTTGCGGTCACATCAGTCTGCGATCATGTCAGACTGCACTTTAACAAAGACATAAACAATTGACTCTTGTAGCTTTTACTAGCATGTGACTGTGCAAATGAGTTTGTGGCTCATAAGTGGGTTTTCATGGCTTGGATACGGTATTCACAGCTCTAAGAAATGAAATGATGGCTTGCAAATCTAAAAAGAAAATCGCTGCTAAAAAAAATACAGTTGCGGTTTGGAGGGTAGGTAGATGTTTTCCTCACTAGCCTGCATTTATTTGCCAAAAAGAAATTTCATGTACTGAAATTAAGAGCTTCTAAGTAAAAAAAATTGATAACTTTGGTCTTTAGGGTCTCATTGCTTGATTACTAATTTGTAACATTGGGCATAAGTCTCCTAAAATTGTGGGTAAAAACAATTGTTTTACTGCCAATTTTCAATAGCAGTAGGTAAAAATAAGCAATTTGTCTTAAATTTTTTTCTGAAGAAATTGGAAAAGGCCATTGAAATAGGTGAAATTGGCCAGATTCACGGGAATTTTTGTCTGATTCATGGGTGGCTACTGCCCAATTTTTAAGTTAGGCTTGCTTAGTGCACAGTTGGAAATAATTTTTGACATGCACATTACTGAATCATGCCCATATAATATGATAGAAAAAAAACTATTTTGATTTTGAACTTTTGCTGAATTTAGTTTCTTTTCTTTAGCTGTCTAATCAGTGCTACAATAGTAGGGTCATTTTAATTTCAATTTTAACAAGTTTTCAGTTTATTTTAGAAACATGTTTAAAAAAACTGGCCTAAATATTTAAAAAATCTGAAGGTTTGTTTGGTTCCGTCATTGAAGTCATGTGTTGGTAATACCATCACACTGGGTAATAAGGGATGGGCGGGGTAAATCGGGATGCGCGTAACACATTTCGTAGAAATGTTGTAGCAGCTGAATCAATCGAAATGTTGCAAAATTAAAAATAGTGGCGTAAAGTTCAACATTTTTACTATCTACTATGTATAAAGCTATTTGAGAAATCATATGTTTACTACCTCTAAAAAATGTCTGAAAAAAGTGTGAAAAGTGCAATTTTGGAAAAGCACCTCTACTAAGGTCGGGAACAAAAAAAAATCACGAATGACGGAATTTGCCTATCTCATTTAAAAAAATGGCAGCCATTTTCGAGCAACAGGGTAATAAGGGACACCCCCGGGGCAATAAGAGAAACCCCTAAAAACTCATTTACAGTTTAACCTCAGTTGGCAAAGGCTCCAGTTAACAAAAAAAAAATTGATTAACAACAAAGAATTTTGATTACATTTACCTCCCTCTGAGAAAAAATTTCACTTATCAATAAATTAATGCGTCATCGGTCATCACAAAATTGTGCACAGAATGTCATATAGAATTGTGTTCTGGGCATTATATAGTAAATAAACTTAACCCAATTAAAATGGCGTGAAATTACAAGCCGTTGTGTAAGCTTACAGATACAGAAGAAATGCTATATGGCTGCTGATATGAAGCTTGCAGTGGACAAGGTTGTTGTAAATGCTCAATGGCATATTTATGGATATGGTGATATATCAATAAAGGATAAACCAGTAAAAACAAAGAAAATGTCATTTATTCTACATCTACAATGAAAGAGGAGGACTTCAGAGTAGGTACTGTTAGTAATGGATGAGTAGGTACACTCTGCATGCTTCAAGCGTTTCAAAATTGAGTTTTATTTCTAGTGTCCTGGATTACCCTGTTCCCAGGGGTAATTCAGGACAGTTTTATTTTGCGTGTGGCACATTACGTATGTATAGCATATGGAATTTTTTTTGAAGATGCCATTCGATAGCCCTTGCAAAGAGCTAGGTATAAAATGAGCCTAAACTTGTTTATGAAATATTTCATGGTAAGAAGTTATCAACCAAAAATGCTCAAAACTGTCCCTTTTTACCCCTTTTGATGGTATCTCCCAAATTATGATATAACGTCTCACAAATACTATTGAAGATTTGCCACTGGTGCTTAGATAGTGATTTATTTATCTTGTTTTCAATTACATTTAGGTACATGTTGTATGGCTTTATGGGTGAAGTGAAAAAAATATATGTATACCCTACTTAACTAGTGAATTAGACTAAATACTAGTTTTTATTATTGAAATTATTTTCCTGCTGATATTTTTTTTATGAAAAACACCTGACAATTATAGTTTAAAATGGTTCTATGAATGCAAAAAATGTGAATAAAGTAAAGATTAAAGGAAAAAATGCATAAGCTGAATGCTAATATGCTTCTTGTCCTTTTTTCAAATAATTTTAAAGCACTACAGTATACCATAAAACATAATGTTTAGAATTTTGTTATCCATAATTTTTGTGGAAATAAAAATATTCCTGGACAATTTATAGGATCTGTTATTGTTATCAAGCAGACAATTTCATTGATAGTTCAGATAGATAATGGATGCTTCAGATAGATAATGGATAGTTCAGATAGATAATGAATAGTTCAGATAGGTAATGGATAGTTCAGATAGATAGTTCAGATATATAATGGATAGTTCAGATAGATAATGGATAGTTCAGATAGATAATGGATATTACAATCAAATCTTAAATCCTGTGGCATGCCATTATCCATGAATATAATGCTATGTAAACGTTTTCAACAACAGCTTTCTATCTATCATGTGTTTGTGAAGCAGCAGCTCTTGAATATGCAAATATAAAATGAAATAAACACAGAGTTTTGATTCCTTGCAAATTGGAATATAATGCATTCTCTGGTCATTATTTGTACATTTTTAAATATAAAATGGTAGATAAATGATCCCTCAAGCAATCCATGTGCAGTAGTAATCAATTCTGAGTATAACTTTTGTTTTAATTAAGGTTTTTTAATGAAAATTTGCTGTGCATATCATATTTGAGATGATTCAATGTCAAGATTCTATAAGAAAAGATGAGATTTTATATTTTTTAGCGCTACACTGACTAATATTGCCTGCATATCCTTGTAAGCTTTGTGCCTTGATTTCTAAATTTTTATTTCTAATTAGATGAATGCAAAATAAAATGTCCTTAGCCTAGAGTACCTATATACCATATAGGTATCAATAATACTCATAATAGGTTAAAGTAGCCTTAAACCTTAAAATGGAATGAGATTAGCCTCTCTACTAACTCATAATGTTGAATAAATGTAATTCTAAACACTTGTGCAGGAGGTGATAAAGCTAGAGCTCCTGTGTAAGCAACTTCATGAAGCAACAAATGGAGTTCTGCGGCAGGAGGCAGAGAAGGCCCTGGTGGAGTTCCAAAGTGGTGCTGGGGGAAGTGACACACTTGCTCAGTGTCAGATGTTACTTGAGAGAGCGCACTCGTCTTATTCACAGTACCTTGCTACCACAACACTTACTAAGATGGTCTCCAGGAACCCTTGTACACTCACACTCCAGCAAAGAATACACATAAGTAAGAAATTGTCATATAGGTTTAATCTCATCTCTTTCAAAAGAAAGAGTTTCATCTCTTTCAAAAGAAAAAATTTCATTTCTTTCAAAAGAATGTTCCATTCATGATCAGTCCCTGGTAGATCTGTTGGCATGAAATTTCTCCCTATTGTCTTTTCTTCCACTTCACTCTTGTGATAGGGTATAATATATAAACTTTATTTGTTGCCCAATGAAATGAATGTTTTTTTTTCTTCAAATTATCATGATTGTTTCTAGCTTTGTTGATGCTTTCATTTCTGTCTGAACTGTTTTACTCATTACTGGTCCCAACTTCCTGCATTCATGTTGTCTGTACAATTCAGTCCATTACATCACTCTTGGAACTAACTGTACAATTCAATCCATTACACCACTCTCAGTTCTATTTTCCTTCACTTATAACTAATCATGTGTCTGTTGCAGGAAACTATGTCTTGAACTACCTGGGAACACACCCCAAGCTTGTGCACTACGTCAACCAAGGTCTCGTGGAACTGTTTGCCCGCATTACCAAACTAGGCTGGTACGACTCGGTTGATAAAGATAAATGGGCCTTCAGAGATGTGCTTGTGGATGTTTCACAATTTCTCAAGGTGAGATACAGGCTTATATAATTTTGGATCAGCTTATTTAAAATTCATGTTATAGCAAAATTTCTGTATCTGAAAGAATCTTGGTTACCATCATTATTCTCCATCGCAATTGTTTTTTCCTATTGATAATAGGAAAAAGCAGTCCAAGTGGTTTATGCTGTCATATTTTTGTTTGCAAATTTTATTCAAATTTCCAATTAATGTTACAAATTTATTATTCATGTATTGATGCATAAAACATTTGTGTATATTGAAAACTTATACAAGGTACTGTTGAGCATCAACTGAGATTTTCTATTTATTCATACTACACACATAAATGCTGCATGTCCTATTATTTCTGCTTAATTTCATTTCAAACTAATGAATTTTTAAGTGGATATAAATGTATACGTAGTATATGTATACAGGGTTTAGACAAAATAGGGACAAAATACAAAAAATATAGGGACAAAACAAAATACAAAATAGGGCTCAATTTTAGAACATGTTTAACAATGAAAACGTGACATATTTATATGTTTTATTGTTTATTGTTGCTGCTAATTGATATTATATCCTCGCACAAATATTTTTAGTAAATTTTTGTGTTTATAACCTAATCTGTAAGCTATAAATGGCAAACCTCTCTGACTTTCAAAGAGGCCAAATTGTTGGTACCCTTATGCCTGGGTGCAAGTGTGACAAAAACTTCCTGAACGCTTGACGTTTCAAGAGGTGCTGTCTCCAAATTATTAACTGCTTCTGAAAGAGAAGGAAAAACGTTCTGAGCAAAGCACAGATCCGGCCAAAAGTTGAAGTTGTCTGAGGGAGACGATCGGTACCTAAATTGAATTGTGAGGGGCAATAGAAAGACCACGGCTGTTAAAATTACTGCAGGCCTAAATGGACATCTACAGAACCCTGTTTCCATAAAGACTGTCCACAGACAGCTACACAGATCTGGATTCTATGGAAGAGCTGCAATCAGAAAACCTCTGGTTTCAAATACAAATGTTTCACGGCGTTTAGAGTGGCGTAAAAACCTCCTGAATAGCTCCCAAAGCAGTGAAAACAATTTGATTTTCTCTGACGAATCATCGCTTACCTTATTTCCAACCTATGGCCGAGATGACGTTTGGAGACGGATAAAAGAGTCGTTCAATCCCGACTGCCTCCTCCCAACCATAAAACAAGGCGGGATATCTGTGATGATCTGGGGTGCTATTTCTTTGAAATCCAGCTGACCAATGATTTCTCTTCATGGAAGAAGCAACAGCCGTGACTATTTAGGAATTTTGGAGACTAAGTTCATACAAATGGTTCAAGCACTGTTTCCGAAGGAGAACGCCATCTATCAAGATGATTATGCCATTTTAATGATTCGAACATTTAAAAGGCATCACTCAATACAGGAATTCTTAAGAGTAGTAGGTTTTGTGGAGACAGTCCATCAAAGCTTGGTTTGAAACAATTCAGCTGATCAAATTATTTGAAAAATCGAATGACTTAATAATTATCACAATTCCATTTTTTTTTGTATTCAAAACGGTCTTCACTTGAATATTTGTTCATCCCCTTGCCTCCTTAATAACGGCCTACACTATAATATTTAATCATTCCATTGACTCACAGGGAGCCAATCAGTTCCAAAAATAATTTTGGAAGTTGTGTGATGTAATCTTTTTATTAATTGGCGTTATTTGTAAATTTTAAGTGGTTTTTACCTTAGTGTTTACTATTTGCCATCGCATCTACTCCCGTGTATCTCAGTGACACAAGCAGTTGATCAAACAACCATGTAAACTCAACTGTTTAAATTGAATTTTGTATTCACTTGTATATTTCTTGCCATTATTTCAGGGTCCAATAGAACATCGCATCACAGGCATCGAACTGCTGACGCAGCTCACGGCAGAGATGAACCAAATCAGCGACTCTGACGCTAACAAATCTCTGACAAAACACCGCAAGATCGCCTCGTCTTACAGAGACCAGCATCTGCTCATCATATTTCAGCTGGCATGCACTCAGCTCCGCTCTGAAACTTATGAATCTTATGATTTTAGTGAAGAAAACAAACAGAGATTGATATTGCAGCTGCTACAGCTAGGTGAGGAAGCGCAGAGCGTAACTAAAATAATAGAGTCGATGCTAATATATATTTATTATATTCTACCAATATAAATATTTCACCAATATAATGGCTAGGTTATTTTGTGGCTTTGTGATGGTGGAGAATAACCATAAAGACTCGTGAAGAAAGTTAGTGCACGAGTTCATGGTTCAACTTGTGCAAGAACTGATAATTTGTCTTGTATTGTTATTTGTACCGTGTTTCTAACTGTTGACTTGCGTATTATAATTTGTTTTTGTATTGCTATTTGTACCGTGTTTCTTACTGTTGACTTATGTTTCTTTTCTTCATTGCAGCATTAAATTGTTTAACGTTTGACTTCATTGGCACGTCGATTGATGACAGCGGAGAAGATTTTTGTACAGTGCAAATCCCTACGTCGTGGCGGCAAGCTTTCCTTAACCTCTCGACAGTGCAGCTTTTCTTTGATATGTACGCCAAACTGCCGTCGTCCCTAGCCTCTAGGGTAAGACTTGGCTAAGATTACTTCAGTATTTTATAAGGCCTTTAAAGAACAATAGAAAAAATGATAGTGAAGTGTGAACAAGTCTTTGATATGTACGCCAAACTGCCGTCGTCCCTAGCTTCTAGGGTAAGACTTGGCTAAGATTACTTCAGTATTTTATAAGGCCTTTAAAGAACAATAGAAAGAATGATAGTGAAGTGTGAACAAGTTTTTGATATGTACGCGAAACTGCCGTCGTCCCTAGCCTCTAGGGTAAGACTTGGTGGTCTAACTGCCTATTATTTCAGTATTTTATAAGGCCTTTAAAGAACAATAGAAAGAATGATAGTGAAGTGTGAACAAGTTTTAATGCGAATAAAAAGAATCTTTATTTATGGCGTGTTAACCGGGGTTATTATCTTGCTGCTATATATGGCTGGCTGATATAAAGTTATTAAATACTATGGGGTTTTCTTCATTTATTTGTCAATATTTGTTGCGAGTAGGTTAAGACAATCTCAATTACAATTTTGAAAATCAATATTGTCAAAAAACTTTAATCGCATTGTTGAGTTGAAACATAGCAAATAATTTTTCTAGGTACTTTTATGACAATTTGTTGACAAATTGTTCTAATTACTCTATTAGTTTATATGTTACGTTACCCCTTAATGTGCAGTGTATATCAGTGCTGGTTCAAATAGCTTCGTTGAGACGCACCTTCTTCAGTAATGACGAGAGGATCAAGTTCCTGAGCTGCCTTGTCGTGGGCGTCAAGAGCATCCTGCTCAACCCTCAGGTACGGCTGCTGCTTTCTTTACTCACTGTATTGTTAATACTGTTATACTGACTGTATTGTTAATACTGTTATACTGACTGTATTGTTAATACTGTTATACTGACTGTAGTATTGTTAATACTGTTATACTGATTGTATTGTTAATACTGTTATACTGACTGTAGTATTGTTAATACTGTTATACTGTAATAACGGCTGCTTTGTTTACTGACTGTATTTGTGTACACAAATAATTCTCGTATCAATTTGATTGTTATCTCTGAGATTCTTTGCAGCCTGTAATTTGTGTAAACGTAAATACTTTTATTATAAGATTGCAGAATTTTCTTGTTTATATGCTTACAATTGTTTGACTCCTTGAAAATTATAATGCATTTTCTGGTCATTAATTGTACGCATATAAATACTTTTATGTGTAAATACCTGCAACCAATTAAGAAATGCAAATAATTTGACAACTACCTGCAATTAAGTTTGCCGTCGTGGCATGTAAATCGATAGATTTTTAAGATAAATTTCATAGATATTCCTGTTTTTAACTGGTAAGAATTCATATTTACAATTCTTTCAGGTAACTAGCTATTTAATATATACCTACTTCATGTATATGGTCTCTTAGGTATTTTCATGTTGTTGATGTAAGCATTCATCTCCTATTTCCGCACTAAAAATTCATACATTTTCAATGTAAACACTGTCACTAGCATCAAAAACTTTTTTCGCACCCTAAATAATTTTTCTCAATGAAATTGAATAAAGTTGAATGTTCGACAGTGGCCGAAAAGTCCCGACTGAATTGTTTTAATTCTCATAAATTGCACAGAGTTTGAGCGACCCTACAAACTACCACGAGTTTTGCCGTCTGTTGTTGCGGCTGAAGAGCAATTATCAGCTGGGTGAGCTGGTGATGGTTGCTGAGTACGCTGCCACTGTTGAACTTATCGCCAAATTCACCGTGGACTCGCTGAGTACCTGGCAGTTCGCTCCCAACAGCGTGCACTATCTGCTGTCCTTGTGGCAGCGGATGGTCGGGTCTGTGCCATACATGAAAGTAAGTGCATGACGCTTCGCGGCTAACTTCTCCCTCTATGTCTTACTGTAGCTGGTGTTTAATAATCATGTACACTATCTGCTGTCCTTGTGGCAGCGGATGGTCGGGTCTGTGCCATACATGAAAGTAAGTGCATGACGCTTCTCGGCTACCATGGCCCATACTTTCAAAAAAAGTTAAGAGATCGTAAGTTCATCAGCCAATCATTGACGGCCTTTCAAGCCAAATCCACCAATCATAGACAAGAAAATAGAGCGTAAATACTTACGTTCACTTAGCGAGTTTTGAAAGTATGGCCCCATCTCTCTATGTCTTGCTTTAGTATATATTTAATAATCATCTTTAGGGCTGGTCACGAATTGGTAATGTTAGAGAGATAGTGTGACAGTTTTATACCAATCACCTTTCATTCTGATCGTGTAATGGTACTGCTAGATAGATAGATTAAGGCACCTTAATTATGATGTTAAACCTCAATAATGTTGATTGGAGGTGAGCGAGCTCTAACTGCTACCTAGCGCTCTAATTGCTACCTAGCGCTCTAACTGCTACCTAGCGCTCTAATTGCTCAATTATGTTAACTGGAGGTGAGCGAGCTCTAACTGCTACCTAGCGCTCTAATTGCTCAATTATGTTAACTGGAGGTGAGCGAGCCCCATCTGCTGGACCGCTACACGCCGGAGGTGTTCCGTGCCTACGTCGTGTCGCGTCTCGAGAGCGTCAGTGTGGTGCTACGGGATGGCTGTGATGACCCACTGGAGGACCTCACTGTGGTCAACCAGCAGCTCGATCAGGTGTGTAATGATGTGTGTTGTGCACTAGTTGAGGTCTGATGTAGCGAACTGACTTTTCTTTACACAAATCTTTCGAAATGTTGATTTTGTTTAACGATTTAATCACTAGTTAGACCGTGTATTGCATTAAATGAGGAAATGTAATCCATGAAATGCAAAATCTAATTACATTGAGATATTAGCCTAATATATGATAGGTATTTAACTAATATTATACCCGTATATCTTTGTATTATTCAGTATAGCTCTAGTCCCAAGCTCAGCGAAATCTAGCAGCTCTCCACAGCCGTGGTTGGAAGATATTTTTGCCCCACTAACATAAATCGCATTGCAGAATTTCCTTTAAATTTGATTAGACAGCGTTTATTTTAATAATAATTACTGTAGATTATTCTTGTATCTAACAATGCAATAATTTACGCATACAATTTATTGGCTTTAAACAAACACTCTCAACGACGGTATGAACATATGTGATTGTTCAACCTAAACTATGAATGTAGTATCTTTGTTTTAGAGTTTCTTGGAAGTGCAAACCTCTAAGATCTGTCCTTTACCTCTTGATCCTGTCCAGCTTAAGAGTGGCATTTTTTGCTGCCCATATTTGTGGGTTAGAGTGAACTCTGCACTATGTATCCGTTTAGCAAATATCATGCCTATTTTTGAACTCGTATTACGGGTGAACGCGTATCCACCTAGAGAATATGCTGCCCATATTTAAACTAGTAAGTATTATAGATGAACTCTTACGTGCGAACTCGTAACTGTTATGTGATGAACTGTTATTTTTGAACTCGTATGATTATTTGAACAATAAACCATGCACCTAATAACCATACACCTAATAACTATACACCTAATAACCATACACCTAATAACCACACACCTAATAACCACACACCTAATAACCACACACCTAATAACCACACACCTAATAACCACACACCTAATAACCACACACCTAATAACCATACATCTAATAATACCATCATGTGCAGCTGTCTACGATCGGTCGGTGCGAGTACGCGATTTAATCTTGTATAGTAATCAGTATTAATATAGTATTATATATGAACTTTGATGTTTGTACTCCTATATTTATTCTAGCAATGAATCATACTAACAACCACCCCATGATGTGCAGCTGTCAACGATCGGTCGGTGCGACTACGCGATTTAATCTTACATAGTATTCAGTATTAATATAGTATTATATAGGTATGAACTTTGATGTTTGAACTCCTATATTTATTCTAGCAATAAATCATACAAACAACCACACCATGATGTGCAGCTGTCAACGATCGGTCGGTGCGAGTACGCGATTTAATCTTATATAGTAATCAGTATTAATATAGTATTATATAGGTATGAACTTTGATGTTTGAACTCCTATATTTATTCTAGCAATAAATCATACAAATAACCACCCCATGTTGTGCAGCTGTCAACGATCGGTCGGTGCGAGTACGCGAAGACATGTGCGATGTTAGTGCAGCTGTTCGAGCAGACAGCGAGCCGCTACCAGGAGCTCATCAGCGTCAAGCACAACAACGGCGTCAACAACTCTCAGCCTCACTCACACGCTCTGCAGCAGATCACTGTCTTGGAGGGTTGGTTCATCATTTTTATGTTTATTGGCTACTTTCATTACTTTTTAGGTGAAGAAATGTTTTTGATTTACCCTGCAGCAGATCACTGTCTTGGAGGGTTGGTCCAGCGTATACATGTTTATTGGTTACTTACATTACTTTTTAGGTTAAGAAATGTTTTTGATTTACTGAGATTACGATGTGATCAGTCCATTTAAATTTTTTACACACACACGCTCTGCAGCAGATCACTGTCTTGGAGGGTTGGTCCATCATTTTTATGTTTATTGGCTACTTGCATTACTTTTTAGGCTAAGAAGTCCAGCGTATACATGTTTATTGGCTACTTTCATTACTTTTTAGGTGAAGAAGTCCAGCGTATACATGTTTATTGGCTACTTTCATTACTTTTTAGGTAAAGAAATGTTTTCGATTTACCCTGCAGCAGATCACTGTCTTGGAGGGTTGGTCCAGTGTATATATGTTTATTGGCTACTTTCATGACTTTTTAGGCTAAGAAATCCAGTGTATACATGTTTATTGGCTACTTTCATTGCTTTTTAGGCTAAGAAATCCAGTGTATACATGTTTATTGGCTACTTTCATTGCTTTTTAGGCTAAGGAATCCAGTGTATACATGTTTATTGGCTACTTTCATGACTTTTTAGGCTAAGGAATCCAGTGTATACATGTTTATTGGCTACTTTCATTACTTTTTAGGCGAAGAAATCCAGTGTTGTATACATGTTTATTGGCTACTTTCATTACTTTTTAGGCGAAGAAGTCCAGCGTATACATGTTAATTAGCTACTTTCATTACTTTTTAGGTGAAGAAATGTTTTGATTTACTGAGATCATGATGTGATCAGTCCATTTAAATTTTTTTACACACACACGCTCTGCAGCAGATCACTGTCTTGGAGGGTTGGTCCAGTGTATACATGTTTATTGGCTTACTTGCATTACTTTTTAGGCTAAGAAATGTTTTTGATTTACTGAGATCATGATGTGATTAATCCATTTTTTAAAGATTTCTTGAGACTATTAGCCGAGTCAAATAATTTTTAATTCTCATTTTCTATAGATGATTTTTCTTGGTGGCAACTCGGGTTTTCATTTCGACTTGGGTAGTTAGGAACTAACATTTCTTATTGATAGATAAATTTGAAAACGGATTCTTAAGTATGAGGTAAAATTTTCAAGCTAAGTAAAATTTATAATATATGGATGTGACAGACTATGGAGCAACATCCAAACTGAAAAGATGATATATTTTGTCCTTGCGGGGCTCAAGCCAATATTTTGGAAAAGTTGTCACGGGAATCATACTCAAGAATATTTGTTTGGCATCATGGATGGAATTGTTGGAGTTGATCCACTAAAATATCTGCCATTTACAGTACACTGGAAACATCATCCACACAAAGAAGGCATATGATTAAATAATTATTCTTTATTTTTTCATAAATCATCAATATTGTCCATAGCATCCTCTTGCTAGCATTTTAAGTTTGCAGACGGTAAAAAATATATTCCCCTTCTCAATCACTCTATAATAACTCTTTTAACTGTGTGTACATACATCCACCCAGCACCCCTGCCCCCGCACACAACAGCCCGTGTAGAAGCGAGATTGAAATATGATAATACAGCATTAATCGGATTAATCCAGGGCTAAATTGACACGAGAATTTTTTTGGTCATGTTGTAACCATGTGCAGAGGGGATAAATTTGAAGTGAGGAACACTAGATTGCTCTTGCTTTATTTTTTCACTCTCATCATGATTGTCTTTATTATCTAGCCTAGAATATGCTAAGGTTTCCTCATTAATAAATGTTTATCCCTTCTCATATGATAGATATTGTACTGGTGATCATGTCTGTAATTAAAAACCAATAGAAACGCGGTTTTCTTGATAAAAAACCACTTCATTAAAATTTTTTTGGCATAACTAGTCACTGCATGGTCTCGTTTTAGTTACTATTGAATGATTAGCATTTGCAGTGAGGGATAAATTCATAGTCCTGCACTGGCTATTTGGCTTTTTCTTATACCAGAATGACGCGATCGAAATTGGAAACCAATAGGTCTGCTATGCACTTATTGGCAAGGTAAGCGTTTAGAATTTAGATGGACCGAGTAAGCGTGTCAAATGAGCGCTTAATCCCTATTGACTCGTTGGCAAGGTTAGCTTTATAGTATCGAAGGACCGAATTAGTCAGCGCTCACTGTATTCCCATTGACAGGTCAGCTGACGTGGCTCGTGTACATGATCGGCTCGGTGTTGGGCGGGAGAATCTCCTTCAACACGAGCGAGGAGCACGATGCTATGGACGGAGAACTGGTTTGCAGGTAAATAAGCTCGTTTGTAGCGTAAACTTGGAGATTCCTGATTGCGTTTTGCATGTCATTATAAACTTGGAGATTCCTGATGGCGTTTTGCCAAGGAAAACATTTCAAGCATTACTACTAAACGCTTCCAGGGACTGGAAAATGCCGAATAAGATGTCCATTAAGTTCATATTCGTGATTTATTGACGGTTGATTGGAATATAGTTTTTACCTATCCGTAGGATTCCGAGAAACTGATTGTCTGATGATACTACTGGAAGTAAAACAATTGTATTTCTTGGATTTGGCTTCAAGTAAGGTAGACTGCAAACGTTTTATTCTGTTACTGCTGTACATAGGTATTATTATCCACGAACAAAGCTGTAATGATATGACACAATATTTTGTTCATTTTATTTATTTTTAATTAATTAACCAAGTAACTAAGTTCGCCGGCAGGATCAACGATCAGTCCGACATGGGATGTACTTCATTAGATTTTTTTCATTAAAGTTAACTCTTGATCAAACGAAAATACCTCGTGTCTCGTCTAAAATACTGTCGCAGCAGCACAGTATTTGCGACAGGTTTGAAATGTTGGTTCTGTTTCGGCGTGGTTTGATTCAACACTCCAATTGTGTCTGGTATAGTCGGTGTTTCTTGAAGCATATAAGTGATATGCTGTAGAATAATGATTACGTCACATGGAGGGGCTATAAGCCAAGTCAAATACTTTGCGATTGCTATTATTGAACAAAAAGATACTGAAAAAGAACAAGGGCTTAAATGAGGGTTTTGCAATACGTTGAACGGGACCTATGAATAGAGTTGGCGCTTTAAATATTCCTGGATAAACATATTCTTAACGGGACAAAACATGACGTCCCAGTGAATCCTTGCGGTTAAACTATGTAAGTAAAATGATAATTTTCCTTGTATTTTTTTAAAAAAGTTTCCTCGGTTTTCTCAATTTTATATTTCACACTAAGTAGAAGGATATTGTTAATGCCCATCTATTAGAAGACAGCAGCAAATTTGGTTAAACTGAGATTGCCCGTCCACATTCTTAACCCTCTACCGCCTGACATGAGTAACCGGAGCAATATTGTCGCGCGCCTACTTCCCAAAAAGAATACGTTCTAGTGAGCGCAAAATGACTTGCACAGATGGTTGCCGCCACGTACGACAACTTTAAAATGTTCTCTGTTGCGTACAAACGTCTTCTGGTTGCTACACTCAATAGTTTACGTATAATTTAAGTTGAAAGTTTTGTTCCCGGAGAGTGACATACGGCGGTAGAGGGTTAAGTGGCTGACCCAAGCACTGCGTCACAGACCCGTGCAGATGTCATAACATTATTAACGCTTATTGAGCGCTTACGGTGCGTGTTAGGCGCGATTATTTGAAGAAATATGATCTTGATGTGTTTTAGAAGAAGGTTTATCAGCGTCAATGGTTTACTGGTTAATTCTGCCATATTGTATCGGCAGCCAAATGATGCCAAATCTGATAAATTGAACGTTAATAATTATCAAACGTGCAAATTGTTTGTCTTTCATTTGCCCGTACGAAATAGGTCGTCTTGTCTGGATTCAGTATGGCAGGTCTCGTGTTATATTTGTTTGTAGTATTTCATCTTTTTCGGGACACAATATTCAAATTCCAAGAAGGAATCGTTCTGATTGATCACTTTATTCCGAGGCGATTTCTTCCCGTGGTTCGGTATTATTCCGTGACATTTGACATTTCTTGTGTTAGGTAGATCTTGTTTCCCGCTCATTTTGAGTAAACAATTCCATCACTCATTTGGCTGAAAAATTGTAAGGCACATTTCTGAGCCCCATCGGTGGTGCTCCGGCAGCCTCCTTGCATCCTACTCCTGTCGTTCACGGTCGAACGTTACGCATGGGCGCCTTATGACCAGATAGTGGAGACACGCTGCCGGTCCTTCTTCACGGCCCTCGATGCCTCCAAGCATATGCCGACGAGAAGTCCGCTACAATGAATAATATTACTTTCTGTAGTCTTGAATTTTACAAAAAAAAAAACAATTATTTCCAAGAGCAAAAAATGGGGAAAAGTGAGAGATCCTAATTGGATATGATCTTAGCATCAAGCCGGCAGTCTACAATCAGTAATACCTTATGGCTTATAACAAGGTAAAGCCGAAAATGCAAATTTTTTCTTGTTTAACTAGTATCATGAAATAATGTTTTACTAAGTAATGCTTGTTTGCAGGGTTCTACAGCTGATGAACTTGACAGACTCCTGCCTGATGCAAGGGGATGGCTGCGAGCGGCTCGAAATAGCAACAATATCTTTCTTCGATCAGTTCCGCAAGATCTATGTTGGTGATCAGGTGCACAAGTTCTCAAAGTTCTACAGGAGACTCAGCGAGATCCTGGGTCTCAATGATGAGACCATGGTTCTTGCTGTATTTGTAAGAAAAATGTGAGTAGCTTAAAAACTGGTTTAGATAATTTATTCGTTCAAGACTCGTATATACTGTGTAGAAATATGTAAGTTAAGAATTAAGAGAAGACACAGCGAGATCTTGGGTCCCAATGATGTGAGCATGGTTCTTGTTGTATTCCTAAGAATAATGGGACTAGCTTGCAAACTGGTGCAGTTAATTGATAGATTTAGGACACGTATTTAATATGCAGAAATCTGTAAGTTAATAGTTACGTACTTGTGCATAATGCAAGCCTGTTCACTGATAGAATATGGCTGTTCTCTCACTGATGTGATCATGTGCATCACAGAGTCCAACTACTGCACCCTAGTATCCAGCAAATATTACCTCAAATTACTATGACTGATTAATCGATTAATTTTCAGAATAATCAACTTAAAGTATTGGGGGCACTCAGAGCTTCTCCTCAACCGCACCCTGACTCTGTTGTCTGAGCTCTCAATTGGCTACAACAGCGTCCGAAAACTTGTTAAACTCGAGGAAATGCAGTTCATGCTCAACAACCACACTGTGAGTTGATTCTTATCATTTCTGTTGTGTTAACACATCAAGTACGGCTATGTTGTATTCAGGGCGTATTTCATACCGGCAACTCCCTGAGTTCCGGTAATACCGGGATTTTATACCGGTAATACGGTATTTCATACCGTATTTCGCACTTACGGTGTTGAACTCGAGGAAATGCAGTTCATGCTCAACAATCATAGTGAATTTATACTCATCATTTCTGTTGTGTTAAACTCGAGGAAATGCAGTTTATCAGCATCATTGTCACAGTTTACTCACCGGATAAATACATGAATCGTCCGACAAACCAGATCAAATATTCCTGCCGGTTTTCTGGTTGATGACGCTAATTTAATTGCTAAACTACGAGTAGACAATTGAAAACGGATTTTGAGCCACCATTTTTTATTTACTCATTTTCTCAGAGCCTCGAAGACTTTATGCCCCAAGCAACTACAACATTCCAGAATTGGTATAATCAAAAAAATTATTGATTTAGTGACCCATGCCAAGAAACGAGCAACTTATATGAATGAAAACATCAACGAGAACCAATGATAGGTAACCCCCTGAATTAAGCTCGCACTGAACAATGTATGATAGATTAAATTCTCGTATCCGCTGTCCATTGCTGTGTTATGCTGTTCTATCTCAAGCACATGTTGAACATAATCATATAGTTGAGCAACATAATAAGGGCATCATTTAATGGAGAAGTTTTCACATTTTTCAAATTTACTTAGTCAACGGGCGTTTTGCTATACATTAATATTGCTTTTATAAATATGACTTCAAACCCTCTATTTATGACAAGAATACGTTTCAAATATGTAGAAGAATTTAACTTCTGTGCTTCTTCTTACGGTAACCGCTATATCCATTGCGAAAACTTCTATTATTTTTCTTTCGATATGCTCTGCAAATGTTCTCTCTTCCTTGAGTTAGAAACTAGTTCTAATTTGCTGTTTATTGATCAGAGTGAGCACTTCTCATTCCTGGGGAAGAGCGTGAGCGTGAAGGAGATGAGGAGCCGTACGCTCTTCTACTCGTCCATGGGCCGCCTGCTCATGCTCGAGCTCGGCGAAGATGAGGACAAATTCATTCAGTTCATGGCGCCACTCACGTGTTAGTGTTGATCTATCGAAAAACTTATATATTCCTGTAATTGAGAGTAATTCTATTCCAATTGTCGTGAGGCCTCTCACGTGTGAGTGTAGCTACATTGAAATAACCTAGATATTCTTATTATTCAGCGTAAAACTATCCCATTTTGAAAGATAGTTCGTTGGGCCTCTCACGTGTGAGTGTTGATCTATCGAAAATTTTATATATTCTTATAATTCAGAGTAAATCTATCTCATTTGGCAAGATAGTTCATTTGGCCTCTCAAAGGTTAGTGTAGCTACATCCAAATAACCTAAATATTCATGTAATTTAGAGTAATTCTATCTCATTTGGCAAGATAGTTCATTGGGCCTCTCACAGGTTAGTGTAGCTACATCGAAATAACCAAAATTTTCATATAATTGAGAGTTATTCTATCCCATTTGTCAAGGTAGTTCATTTGGGCCATTCACGAAATAACGTATGTATTCTTATAATTGAGAGTAATTCTATTCCAATTGTCATGGGACCTCTCACGTGTGAGCAGCTCTATAGAAATATCTAAATAATTTATGTCTCCTTATCATTGAGAGTACCTAATTCTTTTCAAATCGACATGATAGTTCATGAGACTTCACACTCACAAGTTTGGTGTTGCTGCTTTGTAACGGTTCTTTTTAGCGCATTTTCTCATTTATGGAAAAAAGGCACTATTTAGCTCATGTCCGTCCGTCCGTCTGTCTGTACGTCCGTCCGTCCGTGACCACGTTTTCGTCGACGAGAAAATGCGCTTTCTGTCACTCATTGCAGTGAGTACTGAGTTATATTTTTTTCCTCACAATTAAATGCCTTCGTGCCGCCGTGAGTCAAACAGTTCATGACAACTTCATGTGGCCTCTCAAGTATGAGTCATACCGCTTCGAAATAACTGCGTTGTTCTCCTATTTGAACGTCCTTTTTTCCTAGTTGCAAATATTTCGCAAGTTCCCTCACGTATCAGTTCTATTTCTTTTTCAAAAGCTGTCTTTTCTGCTCCAATGAGTCGAGAGGACACAAAAAATATATTGTTTTTTAATGTAAAAATAACTTTATAAACTTTTCATGCATTTCTGAGTTGTAAGGGAACAAAATGGCTTATATTGAAGCATTGCCAACAGCATCACTAGCTGCGGTCAGGCCGAATTTTGATTGTGTGCTTCACAAAGTCTGTTTCTCTTATCATAAACACCCACCATTCATCAGTGGAAATAACGTTTTGCTGGCCATAAAACAATCAATAGATCCGAAAATTTGTACAGAAAGAAATGATAATTCAATGATATATATGATTAACGAGTTATTTACCTCGCAGCATCCTTCGACCACTTGGGAGGGCTGCTAACCCAGGCAGAATCTCCAATGTTTCAAGCAGAAGACGCCAAGAAATGCCTCATAGGCCTGGCCAGGGACATACGAGGGCTTGCCAACGCCTTCACAACCAAGACGTCCTACATGCTGCTATTCGACTGGATGTATCCTTTGCATGCTTCCATCAATTGATAGTTTCCGTTAATGCTAATTATATATCTCGCCCTTCATTTAAAATACGTGTTATGTCATCACAGAAATAAATTAGTTTAACGATCTAAGTTATACGCAGTTGAAGGGTTATTCTCTCAGAAATTTAGAAACATTTTTAAATCGAATGTGAAAGTCCAACATCAGCGGTAATTATTCGTCCTTCCTTGATTTTCTATCACTAGATCGTTTGCTTATGATTTAATACATTTTTATGAATTGCAAAAATTTGAAACTAATGACAATATATTTGAGGCGATTGGAAGATTAAAGTCTAAAATCTATCACTCTGATACAGGTTATCCTATTTAGTTATGTTAGAAGTGACAGGTTCCCTCGCCCTTGCTCGGGCGTGAGAGGGCTGCAGGAAGAAAGAATGTGAGACAGCTAGCCACAAGCAAGTAGTTTGGTGTCGTCTGTGAGGGAGCATAAATTTAGTCTAGCACCAGCGTTGCCTAGGACTATAACGTCCAGAAGACCCGTACTTGGGGCTGATAAAAGTAATGCTGATTATAAATATTATTCATTGAATGCAAACCAGATCTGCAGAAAATAGGCAAATGCTTACAGGAAAAGTATTAACTGATATTCAGGACCGCTTAACGTTGGTACGCAAATCTTTGGGCTATATATCAAAAATCGTTACGAATTTTTAACTCCGTCACTGACAGCTTTTCGAGCTAAATTACTGACGAGAAACTGGCCGCTACGCGTATCTGAACGAGGTTTGATAGTAGGGCCCCAGACCTTCAACTAAGAAAAGAAGAGGTCGCTCCAGAACTCAGACCGCAGTGCATAGAGTAGACCTAGATTGATGAGGAGGACCTTTGCCAATGCATGTACTGTTTTTCATGAAGGGAATCATGGGTAAGCTTTACAGATAATCAGGTATTATATGCTGCAGGATTGTTGACAAGGTATAAATTTGTTGACTGAAACTGAATCTGAAGTTATCGAGGAATCATGTGTTTCAGGTGTTAGATTGTAAGTTCAAGTCGTAGCGGCGTGGTGGTATTGACAGCCCTTTCATATCTAATTACTTCGTTCATAAATTTACTTGTGGCTGTATTCTGGTACATTTCCCGCCTAAGTTCCTTGACTGTACTCCAGTTACCCCACATACTCGGGTATTTTCATCCGCGGTCTGGAGATATGGAGCCACGACCCTGAAGTCACAACACCAGTCTTGAAACTGTTTGCTGAGCTCGTACAAAACAAGAGCCAGAGACTTGTTTTTGACGTGGCTTCCCCTAACGGCATCTTGCTCTTCAGAGAAGCTAGCAAAGTCATAGTGACTTACGGTGAGATAACTGTTGATCAGTTCCATATTTTCGTCAAGTATTCACTGGTGATGTAACTCGCGCTTTATAATACTTGAATGCAACATTCAATCTTTGAATACCAATTCTCTACAACTTGCGATAGCACTGTCAACCGGTAAACTTCCAGCGTTGTTATCAATGCACTTGCTCTTGAACTGATAGCGTTCGCGTTTAGTCTTTGTGTTTGTATTGAGCATTCCGGCAGACACACATTTGGTTTAACAGGCTTACGGTATCGTAAATATTCCATTATTTAATTGCGTTAATTCGCTCAGACGAATTTATTTTTAGCGTTTTTCATAATAACGCACTAGCTACGAAATCTGCTGTCGTGTTTAAAAAAATTAATCTTCTAATGAGAGTTCTTGATCCTGTTAAATAACACTAAAACACACGTTTCAAATAATATTTCAAGTTCAATGTAACGCATGTTTCAAGTTAAAGTAGAACCTTAGTTGCGATTGACTAAGTGACGAAAACAATGCAAAGACTCCAACGCCCTGGCCTCATTTATATTATATTTCTAGGGTTACACGCTTAACTCAGAACCCTCTGTATAATTTTAATATATTTTCTTTGGATGCATTTACTAAGTGACGAAAACGATGCGAATGGTCCAAACCCTTATCCTCATTTATATTATATTTCTAGGGTTACACACTTGACTCAGAATCCTCTGTATAATTGTATTATATTTTGTTTGAATACTGTATTAATCTGGAGCTATATTAATGTATTTTTTTGTTGTATTAATCTAGAGCTATATTAATGTATTTTTTTGTTGTATTAATCTGGAGTTATATTAATGTATATTTGGTTGTGCAGGGAGCAGGATCCTGACTCGCACCAACTCCATCCCCAAGGAGCAGGTGTACGCGTTGCGGCTGAAGGGCATCAGCGTGTGCTTCTCAATGCTCAAGTCTGCCTTGTGTGGCAACTACGTCAACTTTGGAGTCTTTAGGCTCTATGGCGACGAGGCTCTCGACTCTGCCTTACATACCTTCATTAAACTGCTGCTCTCCATACCTCAGGAAGACCTCATGGTTTGGTCCCTGCCATAAATCACTGTTGAAAGTCAGCTTCAAGTTCTTATTTTAACGAAAGACATCGTTAATATTTATTTATAGCTTCATTAAACTGCTGCTCTCCATACGTCAGGAAGACCTCATGGTTTGGTCCCTGCCTTAAATCACTGTTGAAAGTCTGCTTAAAGTCCTTATTTTAACGAAAGACATCGTTAACATTTATTCTTAGCTTCATAAAACTGCTGCTCTCTATGTCAAAGAAAACACCTTATCGTTGATTTCTGCTCAGAGTAACTTGATTTAAGTCATTTTTTAGATTTGAGTCATTTTTTGGACTTAATTAATCGTTCAGGTTTAAGTTTTAGTTTTCAATTTCTTAACAAATCTTAGCTGATGATATTTTACTTATCGAGCTGCTGCACTTCAATGTCCAAGTGGGACCTCATGATTCGATCTTTTCTCAAGCTGTAGTGTGGACATGTGTTTAAATGCTAGCTTCCGCTTCGCTCAAATTCGACTTGCATAACTCCCTTAAGCATTGTTGTCAATACTTTTATTGAACTTTATTTATTGACACCTAGAATTCATTAATTGATTTATATCATCAATCTGCTTAAATCGATATTTAACCAAGAGCAAGTAAAGAAAACGTCTATCGAATCTTATCGTCATTGAAAACATTTCAGACACCAGCTCCATCATCACTTCAAATTAATTTATTAAATTTTCTTTTAAATTTTGAAAGGCTTGACAATTCCAGGTAATGTCGCCACTTTTTTCATTATTGAAGCGATTAAATTCTTCATTTTTGCTTTTCCATGCTTCCAAAGCCATATCTTATCTTACACTTTGCCATTCTCTTTTAATTCGAAGTACAATTTTTTCATGTAATAATATCATCTATCACTAAGCCACTCGAGCAAAAATCTTCGCAAGTTTTCAAATTTATTTTTCTACCGACATAGTTTAAAAATGTGCGTGTCCCTTGCATTAACCGATATATTTACACAAGTATAATAATCGACCACATCATATCACATTGCATGAAACCTTCCCTTGAGGTCATTATTTGAGAATCACTGCTATGCTACGCAAATTATGTATGTTCTATATATCATGTAGTTCCATGTATCATTCTAAACGAGCCATATGAAAGTTAACACACATGAATTATTGCCTCTATGGTGTAGGAATTACACTACCTTGACAGTGTTATGCATAAGTGTTAAGCTATGGTGGTTATGTCGACATCGCAACTGACTACATGACGTATGTGCAGGTTTACCCTAAGCTGTCGCAGACATACTACGTTCTCCTGGAATGTCTTGCTCAAGATCACATGAACTTCCTCGCTACCCTCGAGCCCAACGTATTCCTGTACATCCTCTCATCCATATCTGAGGGACTCACTGCCATCGGTGAGTGATTCTCTGTTTCTTCAGCACTTCGCATGAACCTTTATTATTAGAAACACTTATCTAAAGCGAGTGTGCGCACTGGCGCTCGAATTGCTCTAAATGAAACGTTTGATAATAATTTGTCTTTATGCTATGTTGGGTCGTTTGACATTTTCATGTGGCTTTCAATTAATAATGAATTTTTTCCGATATTGTAAGAGTAGAAAGAGTTGATCGAGGTTGAGTGAAAGGTTTCATAATTACACGTTCAGACATCAGCATATGGAAGGCGGGATATATAAGTACTTATCAATTATAGATGGCATAACTCGTATACTGTTCAGTGTGTGCTGTGTGATCTCCTCTCGAATAAACTAGAGTTCCTCTACTGTTACGAATTTCCTGCCATGCTATGGAATCTTTTTTTTAGCTCGTTTTCCACGTGAAAAATTTTTGAGATGTTCCAGTTGAGTTGCTGTGCTTTCCTCTCCCCGTGTCGTGGAGATTACCGAATCCTAGACTTTGTTGGTTGATAGAGTTTATGGACATTCGTCAAATATTATGATCCCTCTAACATTTACGTTGAATTGGACAATTTTTTTGTTAACGTCCGATTTTCTGTCAGTCAATTAAAGTTGCATGCATTCCAATGGGTTTAGAAACTTGTCAGTGGTGTAGCTAGTTCGTGCATGATGCTTGAACTAAAAAATTTTGCACTTTTCCATAAAAATTGCGTTATCAGTAAGGGCGAAATTGACGCGAATTATTTCATTGCAGCATGTATCGACATGATCACTGCACGCATTATCTTAACCATCCTAAATATAAACAGGTTTTCATTTGTTAATCTTTCCTTTCCGTTCATGTCTACTTCAATGTCATTTTAACTTGCAGCTTGTATTATTCTTTTGCATCTTACCTTTATGTATATTTTTTTGTGTGGACATTTACTGTTATTTGTTCCTGACTAATTTCTTGGACAATTTTCTTTAATTGGCCGCAGTAAGACTCACGATATGGAAGGCTCCGATGATACAATACCGTAACCCTGTGGAGGAACGTAAGTTACTCTCTAACTTCTACCTTCGTAAAACCTATGTCCTGATAATCTGGACTTTTACCTTGCTCATTTGTGCACTGGATTCCAATTATCGCGTACCTATTATACCCATTTACAATTTTCTATTTGTAAATTTGAGAAAAATAGATAAAATCGCATATCTATGTAAGTGAGACTACTCCGCTAATAAATTTTCAGTCAGTTGAAAAAAAGATTTTAGCACTGGTTGTCGACCGATGCTTTATTAAATTGATGGGGATTCTTCAATATTTCAAGTATTCTTGATCCGTGACATTTTTTACGTGTCCATATCGTCTTCTATATGGTTCAATGCTAAATAACAATTTACGCTTGGCTGTTGGAAGAATAATAACTAACAATTTACGCTTGGCTGTTGGAAAGATAAAACTTCGAGCATCTTACTGCTTCAAAGAAATACTGGTCGAGTCTTTCTCTAGTTTAAAGAAGAGCATCGTGGCTGCATTTAGTTCTATCCTAATGGCTTTTTGCTTAGTATATAGCATTATATAGCTTTATATAAGCATTATATAGCTTTATATAATGCTTTTGATTGATGCTTCCAGCCAAGCTCTTTTGTGTGATGCATTTGACCCAACTTTTTTTGTGTGATTCATTTGACCAAGCCCATTAGTGGGATGCATTCGACCCAACTTTTTTGTGTGATTCATTTGACCAAGCCCATTAGTGGGATGCATTCGGCTAAGCTATTTTGTGTGATGTTTCGGTCCAAGCCTTTTTGGGCTATATTTTCGCCCAAGCCCCGTTTTGTGATGTTTTTTTTCAATCTTTTCTGTGTGATGTTTTCCTACAAGTCCTTTCATGTGATGCTTTTGTCCAAGCCCTTCTGTGTTTTGTTTTCGTTCAAGCCCTTTTGTGTGATATCCAAGCTTTTAGTGTGATGCTCCCAGTCATGTATCATGGTTGTTGGTATTTTAAAATTAATTTAGGCAGCGCTATTTATAGTGTGGTTCATTTTTTTTACCTGTAGTATAGTACGCATGTATTACCTATATTGGCAATGCAAATCTTATTTTAAGACCAGATTAGAAGAGTTACAACAAAAGGTTACGGAAAGTTGAAAACAAAAAGGAGAGAGCTTGCAAAAGGTCAAACATAATTTCAAGTTTATTCAATGCTCATTTTTTTATCGCGTTTTTTTTCGAAAGAGAACACGTTTATTAAATATAAACAAACGATAACGTGGGCGTTACAAATAGCAGTAGAAACGTACAATTGTTTATAATTCATCTGGAAGCTGGTCGAAGAACCTCATGAGTCATGTTCATGGTTCCCATATCCGTTTCATTAGCCTGACTATGGAACTTATTATTTACATGGAACTTATTAATATTATTGAAGTATGTGCCTATGCTTGCAGATCGAGTGTACGGTAAGCCGGTCCTGCTCGGGCTCCATCACTCAGATAGGTTATCTGCTTTTATTTTATTTGCATAGCAAATAACATATGTTATCTGCTTGCCTCTCCCATGAACATTTTATACCCTCCGAGTGTCTCGTATTAACGCTGCACGTGCTTCCTTGTAAGCGTAATTCAGAGACCATTATTCCATATTCATTATACACAAATATATATCTTATTCATTCAGTATTCAATAAGATATTTTCGGCTTTTGATCGGGTTTAATTGGCTCGTGACAAACATGGTGTGTTGTGTGTGGTCAGAGGTCAGGGTTGGAAATTGTTTATAAAAAATTGCTGCCATTGTTCAAGATGAGAATTTTTTTTCTTGAAAATTCCGCCGTGGTTTATGCTGGAATATTGTTAAGAAATGCTGCCATTGTTCACGGTTGGAAATTTGGAAATGCCGATACACATTTTTTTGTAGTGTTTTAGATTTTTTTCTGTCTTTGTGTAATGTCGAACGTTAAGTAAGGTTTAGTTTTCATGTTGAAAGATGCCTTTCATGAGTCATGACTGTCCGCTCGTCTCTTTCTGAAGTACGTTAGCAGTTTTTTTTTTTGGGTATGTTGAACTTCGCAATACCATTCTTCACTCCTAATCCTTTTACAGACTACTGTTTTTTTTTTATCGGTATAAGTTTTCTCTTTCGGTCATGTTCTTGTTGTTGACCATTTCTTGTGAATGCATGTTACGGAGCTCGGCGAGTTTGAAATGCATGCTTCAATAGTCCTTCGCTAGTTGCTTGATTTTTTATTCGTCGTTGGTGCTGATTATTTTCTATTTGAAATAAATTCACAACAATTTATAAATACTCTCATTTAGTACGGATTCAATGTTACTCTTTCTCATCGATATAAACGAATTAATTATGATTTTTGTAATTTTGTTCCACATTATCGGAGTTATTCCTGAAGTAATAACTCAATACTTAAGTTAAATCTATTAGAATTGCTGTAGCTTGTCTTGAATCTTTTGTTAACATTATTTTTTAAATCCTGTTTACTCTTAGCTTTTTTTCCTATCCTAGAGTGCAACGCCCTAAACATCTATCACATTTTTACCGCTAATTAGTTACGATGAAATTAGTTAATTTTATTAATTAATTATGATTTAATTTACATCCTTTTTGTTTTCGTTTCATCGTTTCGCTTTGTATGCAAATTATATATGATATAGTTCAATTACAACTATAGACTTACTAGGTAATTGTTACTGTGATTGTGTTCGATATTGATTGGTTTCAACTTTAATTTTGTATCACGATGTTATTTCTATTGCTTTGTTTTGAAATTTGAATGTTGTGTTAGTGTTGGATTGTGTTTCTGTTGTTGGTTGAGCGCTGGACTATGCCGAGTCTTTGAACGCCAGATCCTCGATCCGAGAAAGTCTCAGGAGACTTGCCAGGCAGTCTCACATCCAGTACATGGACGGTTCGTTTGTACGCTCCAAAGGTGAGACTGAGACTTGCTTGAGACTTGCCAGGCAGTCTCACATCCAGTACATGGACGGTTCGTTTGTACGCTCCAAAGGTGAGACTGAGACTTGCTAGGCAGTCTCACATCCAAATGTGCTAGGAGAGCATTAGCTCATCGTAAGAATTAGTGCTCTCCGAAAGTCATAATTGTCCTGTTGGTTATCAAATTTTGCCTAAGTTGTATCTTTATTAAATTAGGACATGACATTAGTGGACATTTTTTGGAGCGTTTGTTAATTTCCATCGCTTTTCACGGTGATAGTTATTATGGCTGCAATTGAATAGAAGCTCCAGTCCTCTGCTTTAGTACTTCGGTTATTACATTGTCATCAGTTAGACTAGGTGGGTCAAAACTGAGGTTCACTGAGTTTGTACTGAGCAGTACAAATACCATTGTATATTCCGTGTCTAATTACCATTTATAGTTTTAAACAATGACCTCCGTCTTCACTGTGCATGAGACCTACTTCCGCACAAATAACACGCGACTTCACTGAAGTTGGTACATCATGAATGTTTTTTGTTGCAACCATTCGAGTTGTTCCGGTTAGCAACAAGTTCCACTCTTGACGCTTCGTCGCAGTCACTAACTACACTAAAAATTACGCTTTTTAACTACGCTAAAAGTTCGTTACGTTATTTCTGTTCTGTTTACTTCCTAATGCTCTTGAGTGGAGAATTTTTCTCCGCATATTTATTTATGAGTTTGACAGAGTTTCACTCTCCGTTGGTGGCGAACTCTATGATTTACGTTTGCTTCCAATAGCATAATAAAATCATTGTGATAATTTTCAACGCTGATAAACAACTTTCTTTTTTGTTTCCATGGCTTTCTTTCTGTTTCGGTGGCTTCACAATTAGTTTCCCTCACTCGTTATATGATCTGGAAAGATGATGAATTGGTGTCGTCTATTTCACCTCACATGCTATTAATTAGTCGATTAGATCAAGTTACTACGACTAGCTAGTAATGATTGAGATGGGCAGTTATTTGACATCGTGTTTCTCATACTTATTGGTTTCTTAAAACTTATCATTAACGCTTAGGAGCAGCGTCTTATGAAGCGGAGCTTGGGTGCTATCTCTTCCTTAACATTCCTTGGGTCTAAAGGTTTTCATTTGGTTTTCCCGCCTTATTAAATATTCCATGTTTTTCTTGTTAGGCGAACGTTGCTTGTAATATCGTTAAAACGATGTTCTGTAGCGATCAATAAACCGATGTTATGTCGGGATTGTTAAACCAGCGTTCTGGACTAATTGTTCATCCGGCGTTACGTTAAGATCGTTAAACTGACCTTTATCTCAATTCCATGAAATTTTGTCTTTTTCTCTTCTGGTATTCATTATGATACTTAAATTTTCTGAAATATTTTCTGGTTTGCTTCTTGGCTTGAATGGACGTTGGTTGCTTTTAGAGATTCTGAATATTAAATAGCTGTTAGATAATCTATTCCATTATCCAGCCTTAATAGCTTTTTGATTATCCATTTAATTATCCAGCCTTAATAGCTGTTTGATTATTCATTTAATTGTCCAGCCTTAATAGATTTTTGAATTATCTATTTCATTATCCTGCCATCACACCCGTCATGCCTGGCTGTGAGGTCCAAGGATTACCTTCATTTCATTTCATTATCAGTTAGATCTTCAGCTCACATTCTTGGGACGTTGGGAAATGGCCCAAATGTCACGTGGTCTCCTTTGTTGTCTAATGGCGTGGCAGGGCTCTTGTTTCTCATCAGTGATAACTTGATGGTATTAGCTCACCATGAAATCTTGTAATCTTTGTCAGAATATTTATGATCTTCGGTGAAAGAACCACAAGGGACGTTATCGTATAACGTCATGCTTCTTTTTATGAGTTTGTTTGCTCTAATGTTTCTCTAAATGATAGCTTTTGATCTTTGCCGATTTGTTTAGTCGTTTACCTGAACCTCGCATTGTTCTGAAATTTTCTTGTATAAGCCGAACTGAAACAGGCTTTCTGCTGTCAAATTGGTTCCTAGTGTTTTCTCTTGCTTGACAGGAATTTCCTAATGTGGCAAGTATTAGTATTATTAAAAACTATTCATGATTGAATGTTCTTAAGGTTCCATCTGTTCGTTTATTCGTTCAAGTGAAGAAAGCGTCGGCTCTTTGGGTATTGAAGTTTAAAATAAACACCAGAAGTAAGCATCAATTAATACAAAAGCCACACTTTAAAAGTAGGAAATGTGACTCAGAATCCGAACTCAACTGAACCCTTATCGAATAATAATCTTAATATAAAATTCTTTCGACAATTTCTATCTTGCTCAAAGAGACGGAATGTTCAGGCCATCTTACAATAATGCAACAAAAATTCCTGATGAATGTTGGATGGTTCTCAATATTGCTGTCTCGATTGTCTCAATGGCGTGTAGGTATCATATGGATGTGTGAAAAATATATGTATTATATGGCTGTTAATATAAATATATCATTGTTTCTGTAAGTGTGATGTGTTTGATCATGTTTGGCCGGAGAGTAGAAACTATTCCATGCATTTAGTCATCATTAGAATTCCGGCGTCGCAGCTGTTTTGTATTCTATGATGACTTGGCTGGGGGAAATGCTACTGAGTAATCTAGATCAGTATCGCTCGGTAATTGTTTTACTAGGTAGCATTACTTTATTTGGGTAACAATGAGTTTATTACCGTAAGGTGCATATTTGTTTATTGGCGTCCGTGCAGTTTGAGTATTGCTTGATAATTATCATCATTATTGTAGATGTTTATTTTATTTAAGAAATAATTAGTTTATTAACGTGAGTTACGTTTTTCAGACACCTCGGTGTGCAGTGGCTGCTGCGCCACGCTCGACTACCTCGTCACTCACCTCTTCAAACAGCTCAACAATAAAGGTTAGGCCCTTTATTTATCTGTATTAAATTACATTTCCTTGCAGGAATGGAGCAGCATTTTCTATTTCTATTTACTGCGTGTTGCGAGGTTCTTGCCTTCGGCGTCAGCCTCTGCGCTTGCCTTTCGTCACCGCTTTTTACTATCGCTGATCTCTGTTTTCATACATTGAACAACTTTGCCCGTATGTATTCCATTTGTCACAGAAGAAGAATATTTCTTTTATTTCGGATAAATTGTAATTATAGTTCGTCGCCAGTGCGAGCAGACTGAGGAATATACGATTGTTATGCGAATTACTCGCGCATTCTGTTTGTTGGCTCAAGATGCCCATGGTCAGAACAATACACCTGATGCTATTCAGTACGAAATAACCTGAGGTGGAGCGGTTCTCGTAGGTCTGGGAATTGGATGAGCTCCACTGCAGGTGCGACAGCGCAATTCTTCCTGCTTAACAACTCACTTAATCCGAGTACTAATTTTCTAAACACCGTTGAAAGTCATAATGTAACTCATTTGTGACCTTTTTAATTCGTTAAACGTTTGTGACTTTTGTGACCGTTTATGAATTCATTCAGCGAACGTACGAATTAGAACACCCAAGGCAGAGTTTGAGTAACATAATTTTGTAGATTAATAATAAACAAATTCTTCGCCTATAAATGGCTAATTAATTTTATAAAGTCAGAAAAAGTAGGCATGAAGCGATGATAGTAAGGCATGGAAATAAATTATCTGATAACCGGGCTGCGCGTCGGTAAATGACGAAACAAGATTGGATTCTATTAGGATAGCTTTGTGGTTCTGTCAAAGTTGTTCATTTCTCATATCAAATTTTCGCTTTTTTTATGGTTCCAAGTCGTGATATTGACAGCTGAGGCCTTTAAACGAAGCCTGGAAAACTCATTACAAGCTTCCTTTCACGTCGCAATAAAACTTGGTAAGAAGGTCCTGACCGTGGGACCGGTCTTCCAGGTATGGGCTCTCGATAATAGTTTTTTTATCAACTGAACTTCTAACAATAGAATTGGTAAAGAACGTACGTTCCAGACTTTTTTAACAAATTGCTTTGAAGTTATCAATCCCTGCTCCTTATTTTCGTTCTTTCGATGTCACTCGTCGTCTATCAATTATTCGCTGCTTCATATGTTCGGTTTCATGATTTTTTTATGAAGCGATTCAAATAAGCAAATCATTTTTATCGCCCCTCTTACTCCAGTCGCTATCTGTTCCTGCACCAATACTAATTTCTTATCATTGTAAGTCTCTATATTGATCATCTGGTTGACGTCTACGCGAACGAAACGATCGCTCAACTATGTTCCTTGCGGCCTTGCGGAAATATTTCCGTCTTAGTTATCCGGTGATAATTTCATTTATTTAAAGGAACGTCTGTTATTGCACATCTACATAACAGACTGTTCATAAAAAAATTGTCTCGTTGGTTTGACTGAAGACGCGTGTGTTATGTTAATTAGCAAAACTGACCATTCGTACCGTACAGATTTCTTTGTTGTCGCGTCAAAAATAGCCGAGTTAACCGCCGGTCGCCTCCAGCCTTGTAACAAAAAACAGATATCGAAGCTGATGATTTGGGTGGTCTTTACGGCGATCTTTTCCCTCCTGCCGATGGGATCGGGACTCTAATGGAATGCTTTTCTCTTTGTGTAATGATGAACGATAAAACATGCTTGGTTAAATTCTAGAATCATTCAATATTCGCAAATTAATTGATATTGACCGTAAGAATAGCACTTCCAAGAATGGGCTCCTATTATTATTTTTTCGATCAATACTTTAATTTGAATTTGCAATTTGTGATGTACAAGTCAAATTCGAAATATGCATCATTGTTGCTACCAAGTTTTTGAAACGAGAGTAAAATGGGGCTCCTCTATTTTCTTTGTAAAATGAAGGTCTGCAGGGGTCTATTTCATTAGAATACATAGCCTGCATTGATATTAACGGGATTACTTGAGTGACGAGAGTTGGCTTAAAAGGATTCTTAAATTGTAGGATTGATCAAGCCCGTACACCACCTGGCTAACCTGCTAGTAGGTTATAAAAGATGCGTTTTCTTGTATGCATCACCCATTCAGAGCCTGCTTCTTATTACCTCAACTGAGGTGATTGTTTTGTATGTGCAAGCTGATTCTGATTACCCTTGCACTAGCCGTTCATGTCATTACAGCGGCGTTTGCTGTTTTATTTGAGCCTCCACCAAAGTTTAGATTTTAAGAATCATGCCTGATTAACTATTAACTTGGTCATTAACTATTAACTTGGTCATTAACTATTAACTCTGTCTCTTATACACATCTAGATGTGTATAAGAGACAGTCCTTGAACGACCACCACGTGCATTGACGAAGCGTACATTGACGAATGTCAGAGCTAATGATGACCCAGACGTATTATTGATGTGTACTGTCATGACGTCATATAAAGGTTCAGACAGGGTCATTGTCAATGATGGATTATATGAATCCGTATTACNCCCCACTTTTCGTCCGTCGCTTTCCCCACTTTTCGTCCGTCGTTTTTCCCCACTTTTCGTCCGTCGTTTTTCCCTACTTTCAGTCCGTCGCTTTCCCCACTTTTCGTCCGTCGCTTTTCCCCACTTTTCGTCCGTCGCTTTCCCCATTTTTCGTCCGTCACTTTTCCCACTTTTCGTCCGTCGTTTTTCCCCACTTTTCGTCCGTCGTTTTTCCCCACTTTCAGTCCGTCGCTTTCCCCACTTTTCGTCTGTCGCTTTCCCCACTTTTCGTCCGTCGCTTTTCCCACTTTTTGTCCGTCGCTTTTCCCACTTTCCGTCCGTCGTTTTTCCCGCTTTTCGTCCGTCGCCTATCCCACCTTTCGTCCGTCGCCTATCCCACCTTTCGTCCATCGCTTTTCCCACCTTTCGTCCATCGCTTTTCCCATTTTTCGTCCGTCCTTATCCTCTACTTGATTTTTTTCCGACATGTTATAGTTTATCGCCTCACTCACTCCAGTCGTTGCCGGTCCACGATCTATTGTAAACCAACGTCTTACAATGACGCGCAAAAATATTGAATACATTAGTTTTCTTCATATCTCAAGTTATAGTGCAAGATTTTACCTAATATTCGGTCAGTATATTGCTAATGGTACTAGAAACATTATATTGAAAGGATACTGAAAATTAAGCATTGTTGAGATTTCATCCGTTAAAACAAAAAATAAACCCACGCAAAAGTATTGGATAGAACAATTTAATATTTGGTTGCGTATACTTTATTTTGTTATACAGCATGCAGTCGCTTCCTGTAATTGCAGACGTATTTCTTGCATACATTTGCAGATATTTTGTGCCATCCTTCTGTACAGAAATCATTCAGTTGCTAGATACTACTTGGTTTCCTTTTGTGGACATTGATCTTCAGCAATTTCCACAAGTTCTCAATGGGGTTGAGGTCTGGAGATTGGCTAGGCCAAGGAAGAACAACAATTTCTCTTTTTTGAAGCTATTTTTTCGTGAGCTTGGCTGTATGTTTGGGATCAATATCATCTTGAAACACAAAATCGCGTCCCAAGTCCCAATGAACCAGCAGATTTGAAGAGTTTTTTTCAAGAATCTCCCTGTACATCCACCCATTTGTCCTGCCATCGATATTTTTCAATTCTCTAGGACCTTTTAATAGAAACATCCCTATAGATCATAATTGAACCGCCACAAAACTTCACTCTAGGAATGGTATTCTTATTATTGAACGCTGTGCCGTTTTTCCCCTCACCCGGATAGCAGAACTCCGTCCGAAAAGTTTGATTTTCTTTCGTATGATCAGATTACCTTATCTCAAAATTGTTGTAGTTTCTCCCCGTATGTTTTAACATGATTCAGACAGGCTTTCACCTGCCGGTACTTCAGCAAAGGAACCTTTCGTGGGGATCTTGACATAATACCAGTTCGATTTAGAGCTCTGCTGACTGTGTTCTTTTCTACAGCAATCCCAGCTTCTTTCAGGTCGCCTTTAATTTCGCCACGAGTAACAAACTGGTTCTTCTGTACCTTACTGCTAATCCACCTTGCATTACCGTCCGTTAGTTTTTTTTTCGACCAGGCCTTTGTAGGTTTGCAACAGCATGCTTGGATGATATCATCAGGATGATTGCTTCCTGATATTTCCAACTTTACGTTATGATAGATCAAGTTCATTGGATATTATTCCATACCCCTTACATTTCTTGTGACAATCAATGACCTTTTGATACAATTATGTCGCTATCACTCGAGTTTTCGCCATTTAAATTAAATATTAAAGATGAAGCTGAATAATTCTTTACCGGAACACAAAATCTTATAAACAAAAGCAAACTGCTCTGATTGGCCAATTAGATAACGGTATGAGATAAGTGGAACGTCTAAAGTGAAAGCCAATTTTGAGTACTTTTAAAAAAGTGAATATTGTTCATTTTTGAACATATACCTAATACTTTTGCGTGGGTTAACTTTTCTATTTTGTTGAATAAAATCTAAACAATATTAACCGTTCAATATCTTTTCTATATAATGTTTCAAGTACCATTAGCAATATACTGACCAAATGTTAGGTAAAATATTGCACTTTAACTTGAGATATGAAGAAAACTGTAATGTAGCCAATACTTTTGCGTGTCACTGTATCTCTCGAAGCCTCATTATAAATTATGCCATCGACGTCTACGCAGATAGTGCGATCGCTCAACAATTTTCTTTCTGGAACTTTGGTCTCTGAACCTCCTCAGGGGGGACTTCTGACGCGTGTCTGTGCTCGTCGCAAGTCCTGTGGGATTTCATGCAGTTGTGGGGTTAAGCTTTTATGTAGGTAGGATTTCTTACATTAAGTTATTATGTAGGTAGGATTCCTTAAATTAAGTTATTATATAGGTAGGATTCCTTACATTAAGTTATTATGTAGGGAGGATTCCTTACATTGGCTTTTATGTTGGAAGGATTCGTTACATTTTCGTTTTGTGTCTCTCTCATGCGGGCGGCCGACGT